CTAAGTAAGTACTTAGTACTAAGAGGGTATAAGAAGACTAAGTACTAAGGCGCTACTAAGAAAGTAATTAGTATACTTACTTTACTTAGTAACTAAGTATACTAAGTAGGCTAAGTATAGTATATAGGTATCTACCTAGAGCTATAATATATAGATAGCACTATCTTTATTTCTTAGAAAAGTATACTTAACTTAGTATAAGAATCTTATATTCTTATAATATATTTAATTATTACCTTATAATATTAATTTACTCTTATTATATCTTACTCTATCTCCAAACTACTTAATTAGAATTATACTATACTCTAGTAGCACTAGAGTTATTATCTTAAGACGACTCTATATTATAAAGATTTCTACTAAAAATAGTAAGTTTTACTATAGAGACTTAAATAAGCTAGGTATAAATATACTATATAAACTAGATTTAATAGTATAAGTAAAAGAAAGTCTATATATAGCTTATATAAGCTAAGTAGATTTATAGAGTCTAAGATTACTCTTAAAGATATTATATAAACTAAATCTATTAAAGTAGCTATAGTAAAGACTATAAGTATAAGTTAATAAGCTTTATAGATAATAGATAGTCTATTTATATTAAAGCTAACTTAGTATTCTTTTAACTCTATATCTTATAAAGAAGTTTGTAAAGTATTTTAAAGAACTTATATGTATAGCTTTGCAACGAGATTATAAGAGAAAGAGTATTATAAGAATAAGATGATTCTTTTACTTTTAATACGAGAAAAAATAAGTTTATAAAATAGAATCTCTATTAGAAAGTAGAGATAATTCTTTTATTATAATATAGAAAGGCTTAATACTAGAACTTAATTTATTAGAGTAACATATAAGATATTATATAAGGTTAGAAGGTGTAGAAAGAAAAATAGAAAGAAAACTTCATAAGTAAATTATATAATATAGTTATATAACTCTAGAATAACTAAAGATCTAAATATTAAAGAATACTAAGTCTAAACTATAATATATTACTTACTTAAATTGTAAGTATTAATCTTTTTAATAGTAAACTATAATTAAACAATAAGGTAGATTTAGTATAAGAGTAGAAAATAGCCTAAAAACTAAACTAAGTAAAAAAATAGAGACTAAACTAGAAAGAAACTGGACTACAAGTTAAACTTAAGAAATAACAAGAAAGAAAGCTAGATATTAAAGTAAAGTAAATAAATAAAAAATAAGTAAAAAACTAAGTAAGAAACTAAGTAGGAAACTAGGTAAGAGACTAGGTGAAAAACTAAGTAAGAAACTAAGTAAAAAGCTAAGTAATAAAGTAAAAAGTAGAATAAGAGATATAGTATAAACTATACTATAAACTATACTATAAACTAGACTAAAAGTTAAACTACTAAGTAAAATACTAAAAGGTAAGTAAAGAAAGAGATTAGCTTATATATATATAATATAGAGTAATAGGGAAGGTCTAAGAGAGAGAGAATACTTCTTATTGTAAAGAAAGAAAATAGGGGTTTAAGAGAGAGAAAATCTCTCTTAGAAAGTAAATATATTTTTTACTTAAGTGAGAAAGAATTAATTTTCTGAATAAAACCTATAATACTAGAAGCTAAAGTAGATACTATAGAATAAACCAAGCTAAATACTAAATAATAAACTAAACTCTTAATAGACTCTAAACTAAGCTAGAAACTTAGCTAAACTATAAGCTAGAGACTAGAAATAGAAACGAAGTTATAAAGTAAACTAAAGATAATCTAGATATAAAACTAGACTAAATAGTAAATAAAAAGTAATCTAAGAGTAAGACTAGACTAAAAACTAAGAGTAAACTAAGTAGTAAACTAGATTATTAGAATTAGTTCTAAATATCTCTAAATAGTTATAAATATACAATTAATTAAATATTGCATTAAGATAATACGACTAACTATATACCTATTACTAGTTAGCTCTTACAATCTAGGCTACTTTACTATAGCCTAGACTCGTAATATAGATAGTATACTAGAGTATAAACTTAATAGTAGACTAAATAGTAAACTAGAAGATTAACTAAAAAATAAACTAAGAGATTAGTTATAAGATTAGCTAAGAGATTAACTAAGATATAAACTTAGAAATGAACTAAGAAGTAATCTAAGATATAAACTAAGAATAGACTAGAAAGAAGCTAGAAATAACTTAAATCTAAGTAAATAAAAAGATATCTCTTATATATAGAATAAAGAATACTAGAGAGATTTAAGGGAGAGAATACTCCTTATAGGTTGAAAAAAAAGATAAATAGGCTTAGAATATATAGTACTCTTTATAGAATATAAGAATAACTTAATGTACTAAATACTCTAAATACTCTAAACTATTTTAGTATAAGATAAGTATAGCTCGTCTTCTTTATAAAGATATTAAGATAATTAAGCTAAGTAGAAAATTAGACTCTATTAAAGTAGAATCTTTTAAAATTAATAGAAGTTTTCAGAATACTAGCTATAAGCTAGACCTAGTAAAGAAAATAAAAATATCTAGTATTCTATATTAGTATTTTATTTTATAGCTTAACTATCTTTAAGATACTTACGTGTAGCTTTAATAACTCTAGTAGCTTAGAGCTAGCTTTAAGCTATTACATTTTACTATTAATAGCTCTAAGCTATTAGAATTTACTACTAGATTCTTAGAGCTACTTCTAAGACTTTAGAGCTACTAAGCTACTAAGCTACTTAATTTATCTAAGCTACTTAAACTACTTCTTAGAGTTCTATTCTTACTTTATCTTTTATTCTCTAGCTAGTAGAAGTAGAATAGCTATACTTTTAAAAACTAAGTAGTTTGAACTTATTCTTTTAAAAGTTCTATAGCTATATACTATAGCTAGCTCTATATATATTACTTATTAATAGCTAGATAGAGCTAGATACTCTTAAAGCTACTAGTAAATAGAGCTAGATAGAGAGAGCTAGATAGATAGAGCTAGAGTTAGAGTACTATATAGTAGCTTAGTAGCTTAGTATCTCTAATATCTTAGCGAGAAGACTTAATAATTAAGCTTTCTTATAAGCTACTTGTAAGCTACTTATAAGCTACTATTAAGAAGAATATAAGCTTAGTATCTCTAAAGTCTTAGAGATACCTTTAAGATCTTAGAAGTAGATGATATTTTACTAATATATATTTTATTTTTAAAACTAGCTTCTATGAAAGTACTAGTATTAGCTAAAGTACCTAAGAACTACCTAATAGAATAAGAAATAATAGTATGAAGTATAAAGAATTCTAGAAAATAGTACTATATTTAACAATAAATACTAATACCTTATAAAATAGAAAGACTACCTAGATTTTTGAAATATATAGAAGCTATATACTAATCTTAATAGATATAGTTAAGTTATAGAAAAGTACTAAAAGAATTTAGAACCGTAGAGAAAGAAGAGATAGTAAGGAGAATAGTAGAATTAAGGCTAGAAACTAGCTAAACAATATCTCTATTCTAGGTAATCTAAGTATAATGTAAGAATATTAATATATTATTAACTAAAGGTAATTTAGAATTAGCTAGTAAGAAGATATAATTCTTCTTTAGAATCTAAGCTTATATATATTACTTCTTCTACTTTAACTATCTAATCTTTTTAATAAAAGAATACTTTTAGAATACTATAGTATTCTACTTATCTTTTAAGTTTTTAATAAAGTCTAAAAGAGACTCTTAAGTAGCTTTTATAGTAGCTATTACTTACTATATACTAGTTGCTATATTATTAGCCTTTTATAGCTTATAATAAAGCTTCTATCTCTTTTTTCTTAGTATTTTCTCTAAATGAATATTAGCGGTAAAGAAAGAATACTTAGAAATATCTAATAAATATTTTATCTAAGTAGCTACTAATAAGTCGCCTTTATTTAACTAATAATAATTTAGATACTTATCTAACAAAAGGTTAATTTATAGGTTAATCTAATAGATTGATAATATTTATAAAAAGGTAGTATAATAGAATCTTTATTATAAAGATAGTAAGTAAACTTATAATACTAAGTAGTAGAGTTATTAATAGATTTGAATTAAAGAATCTTAGATATAATAGACTAATAGTAGAGAAAGAAGAGAACAAACTTAGCTAATTATCTAATCTATAGACTTAAGACTTTAAAATAAAACTAAAGCTAGAAAAAGAATAGTATTATAAGTTAGAAACTAATAAACTAGTTATATATTAGCTATTATAAGCTAATATATAATATACTTTAAATAGCTTAATATTCTCTATTTAATCTCTAATTGAGCACGCTTAGATAAATAGAGTAGATAAAGTAAATAGAGTAAAGTATAAGGATATTTACTTTAGGCTATAGTATATAGATAGTGCTATTTTTATTTCTTAGAATAGTGTACTTAACTTAATATAAGATTCTTATATCCTTATAATATATCTAATTATATCTAAATAATATTAGTTTAAGCTATTAAGAGCTTAAGTAAGATTATAAAACTAAGACTTTAGATAGTTTCACGTATTTAGTAGCTTTAGGTCGATAGTAGTAAGGTATGAAGATAGTTACACGCGCTTGCATATAAGGTAAGCTAGTTCTAGTAGCATGCGCTAACTAAAAACCTAGCTTTTATGCCGATGGGAGTCCCGAACCCTCAACTCCCTATAGTAACCTCAGGTGTAAAGCCGCAGCCTTTTACGTCGTCTCGACTACTATCAAATTGTCTTTGTAATCTAGTATAGCATGGTGTTGACGGCCATGCTGTACAAAGATGGACCCCGCAACAGCAGGTGTCGCTTTCGTTGGATTCGCCGCTAGCCTAACCACGCTTCTCAGCCTCGCGGTAATGAGTGCTCAAACACTTTACAGCCTGCGCGAGAAGTTGAAAAGCGCGCCAACCGAAGTCCGATGGCTTGAGCAGAGTCTTAAGATTTACGCCAATCTTCTCAAGGAAATCCAAACGCAGCATGCGAATGCGGTGAAAAGCGGCTCCGTCTGCCTAGAGGAGCTGTGGAAGAGTTCGATGGTGCAGATGCAGGATGACTTTACGGGCTTGGAGATTACTGTTAAGAGACTCCATCGCTTGTTGAGTGAGGGTGGTTTGTCGCAAATGGCCATTCGACTGAGAATACGCCATGTTTTTGATGAAGAAACAGCTGCTAAGCATCGGGCTAAGGTGCTAAGTCACATTCAGACTCTCACATTGTTGTATACCTTTATTTCCGAGTAAGCAATTCCTGTTTCGCGTGCTGTATACCCTAGCTGTCTAACGCAGTCCAGCCGCAAGATGGATAGACTAGCTATAGAGACCCGCTCCGGCTTGTCAAGCAGCGAAAATAGGCTTCAGATGGTGTCTACTAAACTAGACACTATGACGACTTCTAACCAGCAAGATGCTCAATATCAACAGGAGCTTCTGGAACGCATAGACCGGCGCCTAGAAGACATGCAGTACAAGCTGCATTTATGGTCCCTGGACAACTATATGGGTGGGCTGGCCGCGTTTGGTTTGTCTAGTCAACCCAGGCTATCCGAAACGGGGTCCTCTGGATGGGCAGGTCAGCAGCACTCGACACCCCGCATGTGTTGCACTAGCGAAAGTGCTTTGTTCTGGAAGGGCGCCTATACTACTTCTTGCGCTCCTTGCAACCTCTCTCCCCCCGATCGACGGGCTTCAAACACAGGCCGAGTAACCATTGCATCTACCGAAGCAACTGATTTGCATATATTCGAAGAATTCGCGGGCTGCATTAAAGGTTCGAAACACTATCATACGGTATTTGACCACTTACTATATACTTTAGCTGACACTCGACAGGCTATCAGTTGCTGTGCGACTGTAGGGGATTTCCACAAGATCATCAATACCTCCGTGTGAGACTCAAGCTTGAGCAAACGCGACTTCTGAACTGGGGTCGTGTCGCACAAGTCAAATTCGGTCAGGGATTGGCACTGAGCAATGAAGTCAAGCTCGCCTTGCGCCATCTTCTGAATGAGAATCGCGATATGCTTGGCCACTTTGGGAGATTTGATGAGACCGGCAGACCATTACGGATGGCTCTCATTGCCGAGGTTTCTAAGCCACTCGATGTCGACGCGCCGTCTTCACCGGGACAGCTGGAAGCATTTACGGAGTTTCACCGTCGGTTTCCCGAACTAGACACATTCTCCATGGCAGCAATCACCTACGCAGAGCGCCATCATCGATATCCAGGTAGACTTAGATGGATATCGTGGGACCGAAGAAGGACTGAGCAACTGATTGAGCGACTCGCTATAAGCAACGATCGCATGGAGGGCATTATGAGCGCTCAGCATGTGCAGGCCCTTATTGAATTGCGGAAGCGATCGGACTTCCAAATCATGCAGCTCAATAGCAAAGTCAGCCATCTCGTGGAAATCTTCGAGGCCGCCTACGTGCTTCGCGAACTAGGTGGAAGGTCTGCATTTTATAACTCTCCAAAAGGCGGACTACCAGAGGGTGAAGTAACTTCGAACCCCATAATTCACTCCGAGAAACAGGAGCTGGCTTCTCTTGCGCAATTCAAGGTTCTACGCTCCGCGATCGACGCAAATTCCCTGAGTGATGAACTGGTTTATGCTCTTAGGCTTGATCGTTCAGCTGAAGAGGTTATTGACGTCGAGTTATCCAGGTCAGCCATCCAGCTTCTCGCTGAAGGAAAAGAGGCTGAAGACATTGGACTACGACCGGAGGCGTACTACGGGACCGAAACTAGAGAAAAAGTCTGGATAGAATGGAAACCATACGACCCGCAGCCACTTGATGATGGCCCGGATCCGATTGTACTGCACCGGGTTCAGGCTCTTGTCGCATTGCTGAGGGATAACAGCAGATCGAAGCTATTCAAAGCGCCAGATTGTGTAGGGTACTTCCAAGACCGCAATCCTGACACGGGCGGAAACAATTGCAGGTTCGGCTTTGTTTTCAGACAACCTCTGAGCGGATGTTTCGCATCCCGGCCTGTCTCGCTTCTGGATGTTCTGCAAGACTCGGAGTTCTCCACGCCCCAAGTCAGCACACGCATCTCTTTGGCGGTAGCATTGGTAGAATCCATCGAGCGACTTCACACCGTCGACTGGCTACACAAAGGTCTTCGTAGTCACAACATCATATTCTTTCGCGATGAGCGTGGATGCGTCAATCTGCATGATCCTTACATAACTGGTTTTGAGTATTCTGTACCCGTGCAGAATGAAGACATGACCGAGAGGCCGCCCGAAAATCCCGCGTACGACATCTACCGCCATCCTATGGTCCAAGGTTATACGATTCGGACTCAGGATAACCTTTTCAAGAAAATTTACGATATTTATAGCTTCGGTGTCATCCTGCTGGAGCTGGCGTACTGGAAACCGTTGGATGAGATACTTGGCTTTCCTAATCTCAGGAAAGTACGGCCAAATCAAACAAGAGACACCCGACAGCGGCTGTTGCTGCAGAAAGAGTTCCTCGGTTGCGCGAGGACATCCATGGGAGACACGGTGGTGACTGTCGTGAGGATGTGTCTGGAGGGGCCGGTGGCATTTGGGGTCGAGAACGGTACTGACGAATCGGACCCTTTGGTAGCTTTACGGCTGCAGGATGCCTTTTATGAGCGGGTTGTCAGACAACTTCAATCAGCGAAGCCTTGAGTTGGGGCTGCGAAATATCCCATCGGCTGGTGAGATATATATTTCAACCAATCAGATTGCGCCATTTGGCCGGGTCTCCGCATCAAATTTGCTAAGCACTCTATCTCGCGCCTCGACCGGCGCCTTTGCTTCTTGGAGCCTCTTTTCGTTCTCTTCGCGCGCTTCTTGGCTAGGCTCGTCGCTCTGCTTCTTACGCAGCAATCGTGCATAAAATTTTTGCAGGTCCCGAAAGCGACATGATGTTTCGGCGTTACTCGAGTACACTTGTCTCGATCATCACCGGTCTCCACCTGCAGTAGAAGAGTGTAAGAGAGAGCTGTATTTCTATTTTCACTACCTCGAGGAAAGTGTTATCAATCTTTCTTTTTAGTTGTACACGTAAACTATATTAAGTTACGAACTCGCAACTTCCGAGTAAATATCTGTGAGATTGCAGCTGTTTCATAGCAGCGGCTCTCCAACGGCAACTGGATTATATCTTTGCGTCTTATGCCTTTGACGGTTCCCGGTTCGTTAATGTACATGGTAGATGACGGTAGATGATCACATAGTACTTGTGCAGTTCCTAAAATAAAGTTGGAGTCTATAAAGTCGCATTCTGCTGAGATGCTGGTTGCTCTTATTTCTGTCTATTGACATCTAAGTCCTTGGGCCATAATTGGCAAATCAAGCACCGAAGAGCATCTTGTACGGCTACAACACTTACACCTTCCAGAGAGTCATGGTGAACCTCACGCAGATCCTCAGTACGCTCATCGCAGCAAACCACGTCCTGGATCATCAAGGTGTCCTAGATGCATACGGCCACATCTCAGTCCGTAACCCAACCACCAACAACACATTCCTCCTCGCGAACGGACTCGCACCAGCGCTGGTTTCTTCGCCCACCGACTTGCTCGAGCACAATATTGACGACGCGTCCGCCATTAACAGTACATCCAATGGCTACAGCGAGCGCTTCATCCACAGCGAGATTTACAAAGCGTTTCCCTGGGATCAATAGCGTCATCCACAGCCACTCCGAGGCGGTGATCCCCTTCGGCATCTCAGGCGTAGCAATGCAGCCTTCGTACCACGATGCCGGCTTTCTAGGTACGTAGTTCGCCGCTTCTGCTATCTTCCTTTCATCACAATCGCCGAGTAGCCTTTCCTGACACTTGCGCAGGCGCTGAGGTGCCCGTATACAACATCGCAGACTTCTGTAATGCCACTGACACACAAGATCTGCTTGTGCGCAACGTCCGTCTTGGCGCAGCCCTGGCCTCCTGTTTCTCCGCTTCGAACACCACATACGCGAATGGGACCGACATCACCGGCGCGCCAGCTCATGTCGTTGTTCAACAGCAGAACCGCGGGCTCGTGATCGTGGGGCCGGATATTGTCTCCGCTGTCACACGTGCCGTGTACACGCAGGAGAACGTGCGGAATCAAACGAACGGTGTCTTGCTGGCTGGATTAGCTGGTGCAGCAGGACAACCGGCATCGGCAGGTGGTGCTGTTCAGTATCTGACACCGTGTGAGAGACAGGACTCGAACTTCAACGGAAGCTCCGTGGGATATCTCCGGCCGTGGACATTGTGGCTACGCAGGACTGAGGCCGATGGGTTCTATCATAACAGCCTGGGAAGTCCGTTGAGCAGCTGAGCGGGATGCTGTGGAATGGTCTGTGATGCAGCCCGGAAAACGCAGAGGGTCTTTTGTCCTACCAGTAGCTCTTTGCCTTTACGGCTTTTCCCCTTCCCGGGCCTGCCTGACTGACCAGAGAGATCCGTCCGGGCATAAACTCGGGCCTCGCATCGCCAATGAGGCCCGGTATCTTTTCCAAGATCTCCGCTTCGCGCTCGGTGCCGAAGTCCACCTCTAAAGCTTTCGGCAGCAGCCTTGCATAGTCGGCACCGAAACGGAACATCGAATAACCGTCGAGTGTCTCCGCCCACCTTCTTCGGAAGCCGAACCATACGCTTAGCACAATGGAGGTGATGCTCCAGACGGCGAGTAGCGCAACCACTATTGCAGGATGAACAGGGCCGGGCGTGAGAACTATGCTACGTCTATCCATCGTGAGGTTTGGGTTCAGCCACTCCCTATCCACGCTGTACTTCCCATCGTACATGAGCTGCAGCGCGTAGGTTGCGTGAGCACGGAGGACTGAGCGACGGAGCTCTTCCGCCTGCAGGTACGACTGCTGCAGTTTGCCGATAAGGCCTTTCCCGAACTCCGCAGGGAAGGTTGGTTGTGTGCGCTCGACTGACGAGAAGAGCGCCGCGTACCAGTCGAACTCCTCGAAAGGGCCTCCCGTCGTACTCAGGCCTGTAACAACATTGTCCATCGCCCAAGACAATCTGGGTGCAAACTTCTGATTCGAGAAGGCTCCTTCCGGAGTGGCCGTATCAGTGCGTCGAAAGTTCTTATAAGTAACGTAAGCCCCATCGATCTCCGCTGTACCCACAGCTGATGATGAAGTGCATCTCAAGCCAATGAGGTTAGCCTCTGTGAGGTTCGCTGGCGCAGAGACGCCGGCGATTGGGTAGTCGATAGAACTGTTAAAGAAATCCGACGCTAGCGGTAGTTCAACGCCTTCGACCTTAGTGAGGCCTTCAACTGTAGTGTTGAGCTGCTGCCACAATTGAAACTCAAGTACTTCCTCTACCTCAAGTCCGGGATATGCTTTGGCAGCGTTCCCGGCATAGCCGATGCCACTGCCCGGGAGATCCTGTGTGAATCTCACTCTCGGGAGATATCCTGCTGTGCTGCCGATTGCCAAACGCACGTTGACGTTTCTACGTGTGAAATCCAGATAATGCATATGAATGCTAGCTAACGCCTCAGGTTCATCGTATGTCCCCACTCTTCTGGCGGGTGGTTGCAGAATAGGCTCAAGACGCGAGTCATTCCGAAACTTGAGAATACCGAACTCAGATGCGGTTTGAACGATCGAGCAGTTATAGCGAAGAGCAAGACCCCACGCTCTTCCTGTGAGAGGCCGCTCTGCCTGGACTGGCAGAAACGCCTCCTCGATTCCATCCTCCGTAGGAAGCGTGTTCGGGGTTTCTTCGAGATAGTCCTGCCTGCGACCGGGGTTGAGTGTGTAGATTAGTCCAAGTCGAGGGAGTCGAGGCGTCACTGAAATGCTCCATCCGAGGGTAGCCCTTGCGACTGGGTCGTTACCTAGGCGTGCGTTGAAGTTCTCGAAGTTCTTCCCCATAACACGTGCTTCGTCATGCGAGTGCACATGACCATCGCCCGGCTCCATGCATAAACCCGATATTGGGATGGCGATGAAAGCGCTTGCACTCAGCATTGCAAGATAGTACCAGGTCCTGGAAGGCCATACAGTGATTCGTTTCTTTCCAGACCAATGTAAAAACGTATTTTTGGCTAGCTCCATCCAGCCACTTGGACCGCTCCATGTGTGTTCGCAGTGAGCCATCAGCTGCATCGCGTTCTTCGCCGCCCATGGAGGTTCCATGAGCATAGCTGCTTCCACACCAACCATGCCGAACTTTGCAAGATTCAACCCGACAGTGCTGATGATGAACCAGGAATAGAACACGAAGAGAGCATATTGGGGTCCGAACTGGACTGGGCTGCTGTTTTGAAGATAATACACCCATATGAATACGAAGTACGCCGTAACGAATGTTGGAGTCAAGATGGCTACAGCATTGCGGAGATAGAAGTGTCGCATCATATGCCTTGGTCCAACGAACTTGGGGGTTCTGGTTAGACTAGTCAGTCTTCCGTACCATGGGGGATCGAGCAAGGATACGCGGTTGTCAGAAATGAGGATGCTTTTTCTGCGAGATGGAGCAGAGATGCTATGGAGTCCTCCCAAATGAGAGGGAGAGACATTTCGCGGTCTACTCACCCCGGCGACTGCGTCTTGCTGCTCTCGAAGCCGGTGCCTGTCAAAAGCTGCTCTCTAGAAAACTGTAAGCCGAGTTACCGAAATCACGCATCAGATCCTCTAGTCATATTACCGGTCATCATCATCCCCATGTGGGTCCGAAGGTCTTATATCGCGCAAGGGGATTCCCATAATGTAGTGGGGTACGAAAGGCTCGTAAAAGACCGTTCTTCTACAACTCAGGTACGGCAAACTTTATGCTCCGGACGCTCGCAAATCCCAAGAAGCCTGGAGACAGGCTGTGGTCTTATCATGTAGAGCGGCTGCCATCCCATAGCTTACCCCCCAGCTTTGTGAGAAGCCTGCTAGCGGCGATGTATGCGAGATAACCAAATCATCGGAGCGCGCGGCCTGCCCAGAGCCAGCAGTCATTTGGGATAGGCTGCGAGTTCCATACACATCCCAGCGCTCCTTGACTCCAGTGATTGCTTTGTCATTTCGGCCCCCAAATTGCTGTGGGCAGTAGGCAGCAAGCACGGGAGCCTCCCGGGCTCTAAAGGAGACCCATGTGGGGATCCGGCGTAGCTTCCTTTCCGTAGTCGGCTCTCGTCAATACACAAGCGAAGCGGGTGTCGCGTGAGTTGCTTTTGACGTCGTTCATCCAGGGTGTGTGTGTTGGTGAGAACCTTGGCTAGGTACCTAGGTAAATTCCGGCCCGCAATCAACCCTGTATTCGCTCGTCACGTACATTTTTAGCACGACATGAGATGGTATTCTCGAAGATATATTAGCAATGTCTTCCCTTATATTCTATGATCTCCTCGCCCAACAGAAGCCATTAATTCTGGACGGTGCCCTCGCTACGGAACTCGAAGCCCGCGGCCTCGATCTCAAGGATCCGTCTTGGTCCGCCAAAGCGCTATTCGGAGAGGTGAGCATTGTGTTTCTAGTAGCGCCTATCCATCGGAATACCTTGAAGAGCCAAGGACCATTATCTAGTGCGAAGGCAAACGTGGCGGACAACAGCGCGAAAACTCACTAATGCTGCTCACCTAGACCTCATCCCTGATCCGCGATGTGCATCTCGATTACTTCAGCTCGGGCGCCGACGTCGCTATAACGACGAGTTATCAAGCCAGCACCCGCGGATTGCAGGAGCATCTCGGCCTCAGCCAGGATGAGTCAATAGAGCTGATCAAGAAGAGTGTGCGGCTTGCACAGGAAGCACGTGATATTTACCTCGCCGAGGAGGGATGTGCGAACGAGCCGGTGAGTGGATAAGTGCGTGTGAATCACAAAATCCAGCGTGGATTAGATTATTCGTGATCTGAGAGCGTTATGGGAGCAGGGTGGAGATTGTCAGGGCTTTGTCGTCTTTCTTTCTAGCCACGTGAGTAGAACTGGCCGTACTTGGAAGAGACCCGGCCCCATGGCATGAACCATTTACGGCTGTGTACAGCTACAGTCCCGCTCTCAACCACCAAGCTTCAGCCCACAAAATATCAACCCTGCTTGACGTGCTGGAGCCCGGCAAGATGCTGATAACCCTACCCGCCAACCCACCACACCAGCCCTCGCATCCCCTAGTCTAACATTCCCTAGTCACCAAAGCGACAATCGCTCTTCATCGCCGGCTCCATCGGGCCCTACGGCGCCTACTTAGCCAACGGCTCGGAATATACTGGCGCTTACTCCCTCTCCCGCACCGATTTTCTTGACTTCCACCGGCCGCGAATGCAAGCGCTCTTAGACGCCGGCGTCGACCTCCTCGCGCTCGAAACCCAGCCGTCCTTCCCCGAGATCCTTGCGCTTGTGGACTTGCTGGCTGAGTTTCCGGACGCGAGGGCCTGGGTCAGCATGACGTTGCGGGATGCCGAGACTTTGAGTGATGGGAGTGCCATAGCAACAGTGCTCGAGAGACTGAATAAATCGAGCCAGGTCCTTGCAGTGGGCGTCAATTGTGTGCCGGAGGATATGGTGACGGTGGCGCTGAAGCATATGCGAGGGTTGACGGGTAAGCCGCTCGTATGCTATCCGAACTCTGGCGAGGTGTATGACGCGGTGAGCAAGACCTGGGGCGGGACACGAGCGGAAGGCGAGAGGTTGGCGGAGAGGATAAGAGAGTGGAGGCAGGCTGGGGCGATGATCATTGGTGGTTGTTGTCGGACTGGACCGAAGGATATCCGGACCATTGTGAAGGCTTGCCGGGGGTCGCTCTTGTAGCGGTAAGATTCGCTTGAGAAGTTTCCCAACTGGGCCTTGTAGCTCCTTTCAACCTCTTCGAAAACAGGACGGGATACCCCCTGTGCTAGCTGTCTCTGTTGCGCAACAACCCCTGCTTTGTCCTCGCCCGCTCAATGATACCGATAGCAGCTTCGAAGGCCGAGCCAGGAGTGGACCACCGGCTCAGGTTGGCGGTGACCAGCTCTTGAACGTCCGACAGATCTTCCACCAGAAAGCTTAGATGCGGAGTTGAGTATGCCACGCAAAGCAGCAGCACAACGTCCAGAGCGCTGCGTGAGGCATGTCAGCATCTCGTTCGTACGCGAGCTGGTCTTTAGGGCTCTAACCGGCGGCGCACTTACGTTTGAGACAGCGTCCATAGGTAAGGCGACCTTTTGCGCAAAACCTGGCTCATGCTGAGCAAGAAAAGCCTGCAGTCCTCGACGCACGCTTCACACGCCTCCAATAGAGGGACCGGCGTGTTGCTAGAGGCCTCTTCTGAAGCGTACAATAGAAGTGGCCGCTGTAATGCAATTCTAGCAGCATAGTACCTAGCGCGCAACATCTTCGTCTGATCACTGGTGGCTTCAACTACTTCGAGAGACGGCTTGATCTCTGTGGGCAGCTGTTCCAACAAATCGTCAAATTGGCATAACAACTGTGACGTCCTGCGGAGCAGGCTGTTGTGGGGTTTCTCTGGCGGTTTCTCCGGGGGTATCTCGTCCTCTGGAAATGCGCCGGGAATGTTTTGTGGCAGATCAATGCCAGGACGATCGTCTTCGCACTGGGTATCCTTGTTGTTTATCAGCTGTCGGAGATGGACTTCAGCCGCAAGGAAAGTTGCTTCGGCCATTTCATCATCGCTGTTATTTGGAAGAGGAAGGTCGTTCTTGAGATGTTGTAGGCAACTGGACGGCAGATCGAAGCATGCTCGGAGGTCGCTACAGCTAGTTAGTACACGCTTTGTGTAGCGTTTTGTGGTTGATAGCACCTTTCGAGCACGTAGCACGTCCAGTAAACGCAGAGCTCTTCCTCATTATAGCCTATCGACTTCCTATCTCTGCTTTGCGAGAGTCAGCATGGAGTTTAATTCTCAGCTGTCCAGACTTGCTTTGCCACTTACCCATGGAACAGATGCTGCAGATTCGTTGCGGCTTGTGAGATGCACTTCCAGCTCTGCAGCGGCCGCCCGAGGTAAGCAAACCATACTGCAGCCAGCGTCCAGGCCTCCGATAGCTCCACTCTAGGCTGTATGCACAACGTGGAGATGTTCATCATGATCTTCAGTGCTGGACTCACGAAAATTGAGCCCACGTGATCGAATTGACCACTAAGAGGCACGCCCGATTTTGATGTGGTTATGGCGGCTAAGGCGCTAATACAGAGGCATATGGCTGACTCAATCGTACTCTGGAGTCCGTCGCGGAGGACGTCCCTCTGATATCTGAGGAGGACGTCAAGGCCGACAAGTGGAAAATATGGAAACACGTTGGAGATGTAGTCTGCAATGAAAATATCGATGGATAAAGGCTCGAGCGGAGGGATCTTCAACGATGAAGCCAGAGATAAATCAAATTTGGACGGAAGAGGAGCTGTGACTTCGACTTGGTAGATGTAGTCATCCGGGCAACTCCCAAGCATTGCTCGTATCTTTGGATGCGAGAGAAGCCAGGCGGTTGGCGGAACACCATCTGGGATGTGATGCGGATGCGGCTCCTCTGTTACAGTGTCTCCCATAGCCTTACTCTTGCACATCTGGAGACTCCGCCCTCTAAATGGCCCTCTTCGGGGATGACGAGGCCAAACCGCGGAAGGCGTTTCCGGCTTTGCAGTCCCATTCGCGAGGCTTGCTGCAGGTTGCACTGCGGTGGAAGGGGTGTCATTTGCGAGAAGAGCCTCAAGCCTTGTCAGCCTCTCCTGTAAGGTGACTGGGCTTGTCATTTCCTCTTCTGTAGTACATGCGCGAGTCAACGGGCTTGACTTCCATTTCATAAGCGACAACATTTAGCACGGCACGTGCGCTGGCTTCAGACGGGACTTCATGTCTTCATCAGCTCAGCTTCTCGAGCACAGTTCCCTTGCCTGCGGCAATTTGTGGCGCTCCTCATCGATTGAGATGACCATGCTCACCCAAAGCCTTTCCTTCTTACCCTCCCTAGCTGTTTCAGCATAGGTTTTGCCCCGGCCAGAAGATATGTGAAATTACAATATGGCATCTAGCGAACAATCAGATGAGGATCAGCGATTGTGTGCAGAATGTCAGCAGCTGGACTTCAGCCAACCGGAGCGCCTCTTCAGCGCTGCAATGGAATCAAACTGGCGTCAGCGGTCCTGGGATATTCACACCCTCTGGAGCCACGCTCGATGTCCATTCTGCCGCCTACTACTCGACGTGCTGAATGCGACGGACGAAACTTCATCCGTAACGGAAGGGACAGTGTCCTGTAAACTGTCCTATTGTGCCACTGCTGAAAATGTGGATCCTGTAGGTCGTGCTTTCCTCGGTATTCGCTATCCGGACGCTTCGAAACCACTAGTACCGGCGCCGCGGAACTCGTGTTCACGGACAAGAGCATGATGGGTAGTGCGGACATCGCGACCGGTATCAATGGCATTAGGGTAAGACGGGACAGGCTGTGGTTTACGAATACGGGGACGGAGACTTAGAGTTGGATGCCTATTGAACCTGTCACTGCGCAGAGAAGGGGAAATGCTACGGTCGTTGCTAATGGCTTGCTGGGGCCTGATGACTTCGAGCTGGATGACGCGGAAAAGAACGTGTATGTCACGGATATCTTCGCGAATCAGATGCTGAGGATATCGACTGAGGGGGAAAATGTTGAAGTCGTGGCGAATCTGGCAGGACCTACCTCTGCGCGGTGGGCAACACGTCGGAGAGGGAAAGCTAACCTGTATGTGAGCACGAGCGGCGGCTTTTTGCAGTATGCGCAGGGGAATGTGACGGTTGGGGGGAGTGTTGTTCGGTTTGACGTAAACAGCTGAAGGCACAAGGGCTATCCTAAAAACTTGTTGCCGCATTGAAAGCTACTCGTAGCCCTAAAGGTAGATAGGCTTAAGCACAGTCTGTAGATCAAAGGGTATCTTAGGCGATTGATGCATCAAAGAGCCTAAATGCTGAATGTCTTTTACTTTCCATCGCATGGAACTGTTGTAGCTGATCAACAATTTGGCAACATCATGAGCGCAGTTTGATGGTGAATCTATAAGAAAAAGACATCATCTTAAAAGCGGCAACTGACTTTTTCGGGTGGCCTTTGGCAGCAGGAAGCGAAGTCCAGCCCTCACATTGAAACACTTAAGTGAGCAAATGATCACGAAAGACGCTGGTAGAGCTGATGTCGCGCGGTGCGGATAGGTTATTAGATGGTTTTGTGCTTACGCCAAACAGCCAGAAGATCGCTACCGCCTGGTCCCAATACAATACAGCTTAAGAATACAAATCCTTCCTTGTCCAAACCAAACCAAGTGCATTATCGCCCAGCTGCTTCGTAACACAGATCGTCCACACATTCTTACGCGCTCTGCCTGGCCTTCTCGGCGCAAATGAGGGCGATGATTTTGCTCAGCTCAGCACTTTGCGCAAAAAGCTCCTTCTTCAGCTTCTCGTCCACGTTCTCGTTTTTGTTCACCTCGTTCCCGCTCTTCAGCATCCTGCCCTGCAGGTCGAGCATCTTGGAGAGCGTGTTGTCGAGGAAAGGTGCGCTGAAAGCAACTGAATCGGGCGAGGTTTGCGGCAGGCGGATCTCTAGCTTGCGCGGCTGCTTCTTGCCGCCGGGCGCGCTTGAGACGGCGTCTCCGGCATCATGAGCGCCGGGCGCTTCGGACTGCGGTGCACTATACAGCGTCAGCACGCGATGCATCTCTCCAATACGACGACAGCTGCTACTTACGCCTTTGGTCGCTCAGCAAAGGTAATGTTCTCGGCGAACTCGGCCACGCGATTCGCAATGCGATGGGCCATGATCTCGTATGCGGAAGGCGGGTTCGGCAGAGACGCGGTGGTCAGGCCATTGGGGACGTTTGGCGTGCTCAGTCTCCGCGTCTTGAGAGGAGGCTTCCGCGCTGGTGGTACGCCAGCCATCGACTTCGCTTTCGCGGGAACGCCGTTCGCGGCCGGTGCCATTGTGGGCTGCAGCGGTAAAAAAAAAAAAAGGTGTACGGGATGTGCTTGAGATTTGGAAAGAGCTTAGGATGGTAATATGGACGGGTTTACGAGCTGTTTGGTCGCGTGTATGGGATGGTGGTGGAGGAGAAGCGATGGGTTTCCCCTGGCTTACAGCTCCGTTTTTCTGCCAGCCCCAGCCTCCAGCAAGCTGGATTGAGAGAGCGACAGGGGACAGGGTTGATCTGACGTCGTTTTGTGGCGTGCGACCGCTGGACGTCATCGTGCAGCGTGCTGCCAGGGTCCAGCTTGCGCTTGCTTGTTGCTTGATGATCCAGGGCTGCGACACAAAGTCGAGCCGCTGTCCAAGCTTCAGAACACCACCTGGCCGCCATCATCGCACAGCAGCGCATTACACTGTTACAACAAGAGTAGGAGAAGTGGCATCTGCGCGGCTTTGTCGGTATATTCGATGTTGGTAAAAGGTGCCATTCAATCCCTAAAGAGCATGGACAGCACCTGATCGTGGAGTTCAATCACCCGATACGAGCTGTAGGACAGTAAAGGTACTCTTCCTTAGGCATTGGCTTAGGGGGGTTCTCTTTAGTCCTGCCGCGGTATAGCAAGACACGCGGCGTCAAAGGAGTCGGCCATCATGGCGCAAAACTCCCCTTTCGACCTGGGCGCTGGTCTCGACCTCCTCAAAACCCTCGGCCTTGGAGGGGGCGGCATGCCGCAGCATCCCTCAGGACCACCACAACACGGCCAATTGTCCCAAGCTGAGCGCGCCTTCTCCGCAGGCTCCAGCCTGCTCTCCGGCGCCATGGCCATTACCGCGACCCAGGTCATGGGCGCACCACTCAAGCTTATCAACGAAGAGTACTACAACCACTACATGGCCTTTACGAAGCAGGCCTTCGCCGTGCTCATCACCACCATTACCAACTGGTGGAGTCCGACCATTGTCCGCGTAAGCGCAGACGCCAGCATGCGTGGGCAGTTGTCCCAGGACGAGAAGGGGGATCTGCGATGCCACTTCCCGCACCGGATCGTGCTGATGGCGAACCACCAGCTCTACACAGATTGGCTGTACCTGTGGTGGATTGCCTATACTAATGGCATGCACGGGTACATCTACATCATCCTCAAGGAGTCCATCAAGAACATTCCCATTTTTGGGTGGTCGGCCCAGTTCTACAACTTCATCTTCCTGTCGCGGAAGTGGGAGAAGGACAAGTCGCGGTTCAAGGAGCACTTGGATAAGCTCAACAAGCCGCGGGACCCGATGTGGTTGCTTATCTTTCCTGAGGGGACCAACCTGTCCAAGTCCACAAGGGAGCGTAGCAAGGAATGGGCCGAGAAGAACGGACTGGAGGACATGAAGCATCAACTTCTGCCGCGGAGCACCGGACTGCACTTCTGTCTGGAGGAGTTGAAGGGGACGACAGACTGGTTGTACGACTGCACGATTGCCTACGAAGGCGTGCCGGAAGGTCAATTTGGCCAAGACATCTTCACGCTCCGCTCCTCGTTCTTTGAAGGCCGTCCCCCGAAGTCAGTAAACATGCACTGGCGTCGCTTCAAAATCGCCGACATCCCTCTCGAGAACCCCAAGGCCTTCGAAGTCTGGCTCCGCAACCGGTGGCGCGAGAAGGACTACATGCTCGAGTTTTACGCGCGTACAGGCAGGTTCCCGGCTGAGGAGTTTTGGAAAGTTCAAGGTCCGCGGACGAAGGAGCCCGGAAAAGCGAAGTACATTGAGACGGAAGTCAAGTCGGGATCGTGGGAGGAATTCCTATCGCTCTTCGCGCCAATCACCGCACTCATCTCCGTCCTCTTCCTTTTCTACTCTGATCCGAGCAAACTCTTGCAAGGTGGCGGGCCAGGTGCACCTTCGGAATCCGGCGAGTCAACGATGCAATCGGCGATGCTGAAGGAGATGCAGGCCGCAACAGCCGCTGGCGCAACAGCCATGCCCTCGGGCAAGAAGAAACCCACAGCCTCGAGTTCATCCAGCTCAGACGCAGGTCCAGTGTACAAGAATTTGACGTCAGCACAGAAGGCGTCGATAAAGCGGCAAGTAGCCGGTGGCGCACCCCCAAAAGCCAAAGTGCAGGCCAAAGTGCAGGCTGCCAGCTTGCCGAAGATCGAGCCCAAGGTGCCAGTCACGAAGCAAATGGCCGCTGCGGCGAAGCCGGCGCGCGTTCAAGCATCTTCGGTGGCGGGGAAGAAGCCACAAGTCGCCACCGCCGATGCGAAGAAGGCTGCGAATGCCATCAGCGGCGGCAAAGCTAGCAGCGTTACTGCTTCGAAGAAGCCCGCCACTGCGGGAGGAGCGAAGAGCGTTGCCAGCTTACCGAACAGGGCAAGGCCGGGCAGCGCAATGGGTTCGGTTGCTTCTCTGCCTGTTGGTGCGTCTGCTGCAAACTTCGTCCCTGCGAGGCAGGCTGCGAAGGATACAGCGTTGAAGAAAGCGGCTGCAGGGATGGCTCCGCAGAAGGCTGGGGAGGGCAAGAAGCCTGCTGCTGCGACTAAGGCGCCGGCCAAGGCTAGCACAGCTGCGCCGAAAGTGCAGAAGCAGCCGGAGAGTGCAGCGCCGCCGAGCATCAAGGTGGACAAGAAGCTGTTGGATAAGATGGTGCCGAAGAAAGGCGAGGAGTTCATGAAGATCGACCCGGAAACGCTGAAGAAGATACAGGCGGGGATGAAGAAGTGAAGGGACGATGTTGCGAGTTTATGTGGAGGGATATGTGTCGGACTGTTTGGACGAGGATGTTTTTGGTAGTGTAGAGGCACAACGTTACCTACTCTAGAATGGTCCGCTGGGCTTCGAAAGTCCTCCATTGTATTGCACCTTGTTCTTCTGCCATGCCCCAAATGGCACAGTCCTTCGAGCAATGTGGTGTGGGGAGGTGTGGGAGGTCGCGGTTGGCCAAACGGAGCCTCCTCCGCTTCTGCAAGGATTAAAGTCAGATCTGATCCATGCGCCCCTCATTTGGGGCAACCTTGGAACGCTGCAGGGCCGGGGCGACCCTTGTTTGCACCAAGCCGGACCTGATTTCGCCACAAGACGTCATGTCCTGCGCACAAACAGAAACAGGGACAAGCTAGCTGTTGCTGTGCCTGCCAGAAAGTTCGCCGAACGCCGATCAGAGACGGGATGACATCGTTAACGCTTCAGCTGTTTCCGAGATGCTTCAACCACCTTTGCTGCAATCACCTCACGTGCGCTCTCATTCGCGTCCACTCCAGTCTAAAGAGCTGTTTATACTGAAAAACTCGTACGATTCACAAAGTACGAAACCTATTCTTTAACGCTGAGAAGGCAGCGCAACCTTCTGGTACATACAATCCACAATGGCCGGCGTATTCGACCTCCCCATTGTCGGCCCTATCATCAAGAACGGCGTCTCGACGGTTGTGTCTGGCGCTGTGACGGCTGCGGGTGGCTATGCTGGAGATTTAGTAATTGGCGCTGGGAATCTGGTGGAGCAGGGTGGGAGGACTGTTGGCAATGGTAAAGCTTCTCTCCTTTGCAATCCCTCTTCCTTTAGATGTCTGTTCTATCTAGCTCAGCTGCCGTTTCTTTACCAGCCAGGCTTAGTGTTTACAGGCACTGAGCCATCCGTTCTCGCACATTGTGCTAACAGCTGTCCTACAGGCGTATCCGGTTTTATCGGCAGCTACGGCGAGAAGATAAACCAGTACGGCAATACAGTAATAGCTGCCACCGCCCCCGGCGGCCCACCCGTCATTGACACCGTCCAGAAAACGGCCAAGCAAGTGTCCCACACGGCGACGAACGTCACAAACAGAGCCTCAAACACTGCTTCCGGCGTCGCCAAAACCGCCCAAAAATCTCTCCCCGCCCCGGTGAGCAATGCGCAGAAGACGATCACCAACACCGCGACCTCGGCTACAAAAGCCCTTCCGTCGACCGTAGGCGGCGCGCAAAAAGCTATCACCGGCACCGCATCCTCCGCCACGAAAGCCCTCCCATCGAGCGTGGGCGGCGCACTAGGGGCGCCAAAGCCAGCGTCCTCAGCAGTGCAGAAAAAAGCCTACGAGCCCTACAAGCCAGCGACGTCCTACAAAGGCTTCGATTCGAAGTCTGCCGCCGGCACGCCCGCGCAGTACAAACCCCCAACACCAGGTGCCCCAAAGCCGCCCGCAGAGCGCAAGTACGAGCCCTACAAGCCCGCGACGTCGTACAAGCCGTTCGACTCGAAGAGCGCGGCGGGGACGCCTGCGGAGTTCAAGCCGGGCGGCGGGTATAAGAGCCCTGCTGAGAGAGCGAAGGAGGCGGGCGTTGGGACGGGGGGGTATAAGCCACCGAATGTGGGGACGGCAGTTGGGGGCGCGAAGAGCTATGCTGGGGCTGCGGCGAAGCCGGTGGGTGCGGCGACGGGGGCGGCGACTGGGGCTGCAAGGGGTTTAGTTGGCGGGGCGGTGGGAGGGGCGCAGAATGCGGCGGGGAAGGTGAGGGTAAGTCGGGAGAGCAGGCCGAGAAGGGGGAGGGGGCAGGCGGAGAGTGCGAAGCCGGCGCCTCAGTTTTTCTAAATGGAGCGCATGATCTGGTGAGGTTGTGTCATGTGTACAGTGTATGCGGTGGATGTTTTGACAGCTTGGATAAATGGATGCAGTGTGTAAGTTATCGGCGTTGTGGGTACAAGCTGTCTATAGCAGACACGAAGCGAACGTTTTCCGTAAATCTGCCAAAAGCAAAAGTCGAAATGGCTGCCGTAGGTTCTCAGCGCGATTACAGGTGCGGCATACCTTCTTAGCTAGCCATCGGAGTCAACCAGTCAGCCTCATCCCTCAGATCACCTCTTGTACTCCTTCAGCGATGTCCTCAAGCTCTCCCGGTCACCATCGCCTCCTCTCACGTCCAATCCCGTGTTCTTCAAAAGTCTATTACAACTCTGGCGCTGGCGCCTAGCGGCCAGTTGGTACGATCTACCGTTTTCTGTTAGCGATACAGTGATACTTATGCAGCTTCTCACATGCTGTATCGAACCTTGACCCCTGGCTGTCAGGCTGCGACGCCGCAATGCATGGAGCACAAACCACTAGGTGCCAACCGAAACCCATCTTGTAGCATCCGGTTCTGGCCGGATAGTTTCCTGAATACCGCACCGCAAACTGTGCAGGAGATCGCGTTTCCGCAAGGCTTTGATAAGATTCTGTGCCGCAGCGGCGCAGTTGGTGTACGCGGCTCCGCAACCCTGTGGACTGATCCTCCAGGCAGCAACATCACGAACACTTTCCGCTAGCATGCCCAATTTCTTCTTTTGTGGTGTAGCATAACGTCCGACTCATCTTGTGTAGTCTTTGCGTGACTGAGTAAACTTTTGCGTACTCCCACGCACCAACTTGCCGCGTTGCCTTCCCAAAAGTTCTCGTACAGCCGTGGTGGATTCGGCAAGATATCTCGCATGGATCCTGCAAGACCATAGTAGCAGAAGATGCTTGGCAAGCTCCTGGTGTCGACATGCCTCGTGCTCCAGCTTACCACGGCACTGGGAATTCTTCCGCGATTTAATGCGCCACCGTTGGACGCAGCGTTTGCGCACCACCGCGACGCAGAAAATATCCGTTACGCCGCCTTCGGCGACTCCTGGGCATCAGGAGTGAACTACGGGCCCCCAAACGCCGACCTAGAATATGACTCCCCCAACAATGAAGAGCTATGCCGCTGCCGGCGTGTCAACGAAGCATACCCAGTCCAGCTGCGAGACGACCGCAACATATCCTGGGCGAACGGCAAGAAGCCCGATCTAGACTTCGTGGCCTGCCATGGAGCTTTCTTCGACGCGATACCAGACCAAGTCAGACGGCTGAACCAAAGCGTCACTCCGCGCTTCGCGACGCTCATGATCGGTGGCAATAACGGCGGGTTCCCGGATATCATTGAGAACTGCATCTACCAGCCCAAAAGAGATAAGGACTATGGGCCAGAATATCCGGACCCGAGTGGCGAGTGCTTCAAGGCGCTGCAGCGGGCTCGTTGTGCGGTCACTTCGTGGACGTTTGTGAAGGGGATCCGGAATTCGATCAACGCAGTCCTCGACGAGTCGCGTATCAAGCGCGATACTAATTTCCGGCTCTACGTCCTCGGCTACGCGGACCTCTTCAATCACGACGACCGTGCGTGCGACGATTGGAGCTTTGGTGTCTGGCCCGGCAAGCAGCAGAAGCTCAGCACAGTGCTTCGTAAGGACATCAATCTCGTGATCGACGCTGGCCGCTTCCTGTATGACAAGCTCATTAACCGTGTGCTCCATAATTCAAAGGTTCGCTATATCGACATCAATGCTGCATTCGCCAAGCACAGATTCTGCGAGCCGACGGAGGAGGGAACGCTGGCGGCGCAGGCGGCGAATAGCTGGTTGTGGAGCTTAGAGTGGACAGGCTGTATTCCGCTTGCGCAGCAGAGCGCTGTCCAACAGACACCGCTAATGAGTGAGAGTTGGCCGGAGTTTTGTCGTAAGTGCGGCGATCTTGGTCAGCTGGGCGAGGTGCAGAGGCCTTTTCATCCGAAGCCAGAGGGCCATAAGGCTATCAAGGATGCATTGACGGCGGTGCTCAAATCGGAGGGGTGGATTGCTGAGGACGGTTCTGGGCTTGTGTGAGAGGTTTGAGCAGATTTTCCCGCGGGCTGAAATTAAGAGCGGCTTAATTTATAACACTCTCAGTACAGCTCTTCGCCGAGAATTGACATGCCAGTTGTGTCTGTAGAGACCTTACCCATGGCTGTTTACTACTTACCTAGCCAGAGTCTTCAAGCATCAGCCGCGGGCGATTAAGCGACAACCAAATTGGCTGAGACTGGCAGAATAACACCTGTGTACGAGAACTCATGATTACTGTGGAGACAAGGTAGACAGTTATGAGTTTTTACCTGGTTTATAAGAGTAATGACGCGTTCGATGGAAGGGACTTTTGAAAGCTCTGCGGCGATCGACAGAATCAATAAACGGACATAAGCCTGCTATGAAGAGAATTGATGAAGGATCACACATAGTTCCGCTTGTAGGTTAAGCACATCCTGACTGCAATATACTGTATAAATCTTACTACCAATGACTGCCTTGAGAGAAAGCCAATTAAGAAAATTCCTCGGCCATATTGGGACGTAAAGAAATCGACAGGTGCGTCAAGCAAGGTGAGCAGACAAAAAGCGGGAAGGCTCCGCAGTGCTGAGTGTGGAATGGTGAAGATCGTGGCACTGACTAGAGCAGCTACCAAAAGTCGCATGCTTCGGCAAGCAACTGCGCAAGCTGCTCCAAGGCCTTCTGGTCTTCAGAGTCAAAGCCTGAAAGCTCGGCGCAGTCAATGTCGAGGATGGCAACCGCCTGTGCAAATTGAACGTCAGTAATTCCACAGGCTAGGTCTTGGTGTGCAGGTTTCAAAATGATATTCCGAGATGAAGGTGTGAGCAGAGACATGAGATGGCTTCCTCTTGCTGTCTTACCTTTCCTTGCTGCACGATAGGCACTACAATCTCACTCTTGCTCCTAGAATCACACGCAATGTGGCCAGGGAACGCCTCGACATCCGGCACCAGCTGTGTCTCTTTCTTTGCGGCGGCAGTTCCGCAAACACCCTTCCCCCAGGCTATTGTCTGACACGCCACATGTCCTTGGAATGGTCCCAGGGTTAACTGACCTGCGGTCTTGGGATCAAGTACGTAGAAGCCACACCAGTTCACAGCGGACGACGGAGCCGGCAGGGAGCGAAGGGCGTGATACAATAGTGACGACGCATTGGAGAGATTGCTACCTTCCAGACTTCAGCTTGTGGGTTCCTCACCATTGTTGGTGATCCTTTTTTACTCACCAGACCTTGACGACCTCGTCAATAAAACTGATATAACACACGGAAGCCTAAGTTGCTTCTTTACGATGCCCTGGACCCTCAACTTACCCAATTCCTTTGGCCTTCGCAAAGAGCACGCGCTTGCTCTATGACTTGTGCGTAGACATCGGCTTTGCTCTGTCCAGTCTCAAAGGTCGAGGCCTCTGCGTGAACCTACGTGTCGCTTATCAGAAGCCGTCTCTACACGTCCGGAGTCACACGAGTTAATGAGAGCATACCATTGTGAGGCCTTTCTTTTTGTTGTACAGCAATTTCACCTTGTTTAGAAATGCGATGTTGGAGCCGCATGCAATGCGGGAGTGGAGGCCGAGATCCGATCTCCGAGAAACGGCCGTCGGCTGTTCCTGAGGCTCGAGGTTGTTGCTGATTCAGCCGTCGGCTGCTGGGATCACTGCCGACGTCAAAGTTCGAAACTGCTAAATCCGATAGGACCGGGACGTCTTGGCTTCGCTGCAAATGCCTCGAAAGCTGACAGAGATGATCGATGACGTGCGATTTGTTAAGCTCCACCGATTTCTTTCGAAAGGACTGGAATAGTGACGATGGAAGCATACATATACACATTACCCTGCGCAAGAGCAGTCACAGCCCAAACTCGTCTCATCTACCACTTTAACCCTCCAGCAATCCACCCACAACGTCCACAAATCCCACGATGGCACCATCAGCACGATATGAGTCTGCGGACATTGACCCTGCGCCCCTTGGGCAGCCGCTGAAGTTTGGGTTTTCTGGAAAGACCGCCCCCAACCGCTTCCTCAAGGCTGCTATGACCGAGCGTATCTCGTCTTGGGATCCAGAAAGTTTCGAGAAGCGCGGCATACCATCCAAGAACCTCATCAACGTCTACCGAAGATGGGGTGAGGGTGCACTCGGTGTGATCCTAACAGGCAACATCATGATTGAGCCCGATCAGCTGGAGGCTGCTGGCAACCCGATCATCCCGAGGACAGCACCCTTTGAGGGCGAGCGATTTGAGGCTTTCAAGGAGCTGGCAGCGGAGTCGAAGAAGCACGGCTGCTTGGTCGTTGGACAGGTCAGCCATCCCGGACGGCAGGTCGAGGACCGGATACAGAAGAACCCGGTCTCAGCCAGTGATGTTCAGTTGGAGGTAGGCTGGGATGTTATTCCACATCACCACACAATGGTCTAACAGCACCCAGGGCAACATCATGGGCATGCATTTTGCAAAGCCGCACGCCGCGACTGACGAAGAGATTGAGCGCATCATCGACGGTTTCGCGCACGCAGCTGAATACCTCGAGAAGGCCGGCTACGATGGCATCGAACTTCACGGTGCCCACGGCTACCTCCTCGCGCAGTTTCTCTCTCCCACAACAAACAAGCGGACTGACAAGTACGGCGGCTCCCTCCAGAACCGAGCCCGTCTTATCCTAGACATCGCTCGCGAGATCCGCAAGCGTGTCCAGCCCGACTTCATCGTTTCCATTAAGCTCAACTCTGTCGAGTTCCAGGACAAGGGCTTCAACCCGGATGAAGCACGTGAGCTCTGCGCCCTGCTCGAAGAGAACCGCTTCGACTTCGTCGAGCTGTCTGGAGGAACCTACGAGCACCTTGCCTTCAAGCACGAGCGCGACTCGACGAGGAAGCGGGAGGCTTTCTTCCTTGAGTTCGCGGACATGATCGCTCCTGCATTGAAGAAGACGAAGACGTACGTCACTGGCGGTTTCAAGACTGTCGGCGCGATGGTTAAAGCTCTTGAAGTGGTCGATGGCATTGGTCTCGGACGACCGGTAACCCAGGAGTTCCATCTCTGCAAGGACATCCTTGAAGGGAAGGTCAAGGGCGCGATCAAGCAGAAGATTGACCAGGACAACTTCGGCCTGACGAACGTTGCGGCTGGCACGCAGATCCGGCAGGTCGGCAAGGACCAGGAGCCGATTGATCTGAGCCAGAGTGAGGCCGTGCAGGCTTTCATGAAGGACATGGGTGCTTGGGCCGAGAAGATGGGCAAGGACTCAGCCATGCAGAACTATGGCTATGTGGACATCATGAGTGCTGCGCCTGTGCCGTATGGTACCGCATCTGCATGAGCACTGCTTTCGGCAAGGAAGGCTAGACTAGACTAGACATCTTAGAATAGATGATATCCAGAGCAATTCCCAACACAAATACCCGGCTTTTCTGAAGTGTATTGGACTGCCATCCATACCGCGTGACGCCACACTTGATCAACTCTCACAGGCGACGTTCTGCGGTTCCCGTCCTTGTCCATGATAGGTAGTAATATCTTCATCGTGGAACATCGCCGTGAACAAGAAAGTTCTTCGGTGCAATCTGGCTGTTAGCATCGAAGTCGTAGAGGACACTCGTCCCAGCAGCAGTTCGACCTCCCATCGTTGATACCGCAAAGCACTTTAGGTCCCAAAAACTCGACTCATCCACAGGGACGTTCAAGAACACTGTCAGGGCCCTAATCTTCACCTTGACGTTCTGCGAACTTCTCACTCCTGTGCTAGATCGGGCAACAGTGTCCACTCCATAGAACGCCTACACCGCGGACTGGAGATGGCGCGGCCAACAGCAGACCAGAGCACCCGTCTTAGCAGCAGTTCGACGTTCCACCGTCAATATCACCAAGCAGCCCAGGTTCTAGAACTCGTAGCAGGATAGCCCCTTCGACGCTCGAAAGGAACGGCTAAGAGCAAAATCGCTTCGTCGCACACCCGCGGCATCAGCCCTGGGTTTCATGTAGGTCGTCGTTCTACGCGTACTGGCTCCTTTCTGGATTGGGCAACTCGATCGCCTTGCAGAATGCTGCGCCGCGAACCAGACGCAACTCAGCCTGGCGGGCTCACGATGAGCTGCAACCATCGGAAGCCAACATCTGCCCGCGGCTCGATAGTCGACCTCCACTGTTAACATCACAAAGCAACCCACGTTCTAGAACTATGATTTTTGTGGAAGCTCGTCATCTTGTACTGCAAGGCGTCCCTGGCTCAGGGGCCACCGATCTCAACCCCACATGCGCACCCCGCCATCCCCGCTTCACCCCGCAGCCACAGAATTCCTAGAGCTGTCATGCATGTCATCCGCGCATTTCGTTCTGTAAGACATTTGGAATGACAAGAGCTTCATCAGGATTGCTTGCGGGGTAGCAGATGCTAACTAATACCCCTCGATGGCGGCGGGAGCCCGCAGAAAGAGGTGGGTTCGGAAGATAAAGACGCGTCGTTCCCAGCCCCCAGGGTAAATCCAGTACCGCTCTCACGAACCGACTATCCATTCCAATACCCGTAATAACAAAACCCACGAAGATGAAGGCCGTGCACTATGAAGGACCGTTCAAGGTCTCCGTCAAGGAGGTCGAGGAGCCGAAGATCGAACACCCCGACGATGCCATCATCAAGGTCACTACCGCCGGTACAAGCTACCCTGTCCTCCCTTCGGGAAGGAAAAGCCTGGACAGCTAACATCTCACCAGCTATCTGCGGCTCCGATCTGCACATGTATCAAGGCCGTACCGCCGCCGAATCCGGCCTCATCTTCGGTCACGAGAATATGGGCATCATCACCGAAGTCGGCCCCGGCGTGACGCTCCTCGAAAAGGGCGACCGCATCGTGCTCCCCTTCAACGTGGCCGACGGCCGGTGCCGCAACTGCGAGGAGGGCAAGACGGCGTTCTGCACGGGCGTCAACCCGGGCTTCGCTGGTGGCGCGTACGGCTACGTCGCCATGGGGCCGTATAAGGGTGGCCAAGCACAGTATCTGCGCGTGCCATATGCAGACTTCAACGCACTGAAGCTGCCGAAGGGAACGGAGCATGAGGCGGATTTCTCGCTGTTGGCGGACATCTTCCCCACGGGCTGGCACGGGCTGGTGCTGTCTGGCTTCCAGCCGGGCGAGAGTGTAGCCATCTTCGGTGCTGGGCCCGTGGGATTGATGGCCGCCTACTCGGCGGTCATCAGGGGCGCGAGCCGTGTGTTTGTGGTGGATCAGGTGGCCGAGAGGCTGCAGGCGGCGGAGAAGATTGGCTGCACGCCTATCAACTTCACCGAGAGCGACCCGGTCGAGCAGATCATTCAGAAGAACGGAGGTATGGTGGACCGAGCCGTTGATGCTGTTGGGTATCAGGCGGTCGACAAGAGCGGGAATAAGGAGCAGCCGAACATCGTCCTGGATCAGTTGATCATGGTGACGCGGCCAACAGGAGGCCTGGGTATCCCGGGCCTTTACGTGCCTTCAGACCCCGGCGCGCCGGACGAGCAGAGCGGAAAGGGCCAGATCTTGATTTCTTTTGGGAAGCTGTTCGAAAAGGTAAGTCCATCCACCCTTTAGCATGACAGGAAGCTGACCCTCGCAGGGCTTGTCGCTGGGTACAGGCCAATGTAACGTCAAGAAATATGTATTTCCCCCTACTGTCCCCAACAACGATCACAAGCTAACTATTAGTTAGAACCGGTACCTGAGAGATCTGATCATCTCCGGAAGGGCGAAGCCATCGTTTGTCGTATCGCACGAAGTCGACATCGATGATGCGTCGGACGCGTATGAGAAGTTTGACAAGCGGATAGATGGGTATACCAAGGTGTTGATCCATCCAAATGGTCCCATAGACAAGCTTCAGGGCTAGAGGGGTTTTGTTGAGCTCCTCCAGGAAATGCAAATAGTCAATCTAACGTTTCGAATCTCGATAAATCTCTCACGTGTGCCAACCGTCGCAGCTGCTGTGGAGGGTAACAATATTTGGCTGAGTGTACCGCTAGTTGTTCTGTGAGCTTGCACGTGATCTGCACATTTCGCCAAGGTGGAGATGGGACGGGACATCCTCACGTCTGACTTCAACACCTTAGTTATCCACCCTGCCGCCGTCAACCACAGAGTCCTAATTTCACTCCTTCCTCTATACATATGGTGGCAAGCTGCCTTGCGATCATGCACAATGCCTCTCGCCGCCGCCGAGAGGGCCCACTTCTCATGGCGGGGTGCAGCACTACTGAAGGAGGGGCATGATCTACGGTTGCTGAAGGCCTTCAATTGCCGAAGCGATTGATGGCCTCGTCTCGGCGGTACATTGAGCGAGGCTACTCGCTGAGGTTACCTAGGTAGAGGCTTCTACTCGAACGACCATTTCTATAACAAGCTATCATTGAGCTCTCCCTCCCCTGAACCATTGGCGCTCCATTTACCTGTCAATATGTCGACGAAACTCCACCGCAACCCTCCCTTCCGCGCCGAGCACCTAGGTTCTCTCTTGCGGCCCAAAGATCTCCTCGCGGCGCGCGGTGAGGAAGGAGAAGAGAAGAAGAAGTCGGCAGAGGAACTCCGCAAGATTGAAGACGACGCGATCGAGGACATTGTAGAGAAGCAGATCCAATGGGGTTTCCGTGCCGTATCTGATGGCGAGTATCGGTACGTCTGGCTGTTCTCTAGAGTAATGGATGAGGCTTGCAAGCCCGATTGCGCACTGGTGAACCTTTATCCAGAGCAACAGCTGATTGCTTCGACGTTCTAGGAGACACATGTTCTGGGGCAGCTTCTGGCCCGCCCTGGACGGCATGGAAGAGATCTACCAACCGCCCCTTGAAATCTTCCGCTCGTACGCTCCCGACATTGCCGCCTTTACCGAAGCGGGTGTTCTACCTGGCGAGTCTGTTATCTGCACCGGCAAGATCAAGCACGCTGGAGAGTCTACCTACGTTGGCCAGTTTGAGTACCTAAAGACGCTGGTGCCGGAGGAGCGGTGGGGAGAAATTAAGATGACAATCGCCGCCCCAAATTGGTATCACTTCCGGTATAAACAGGGAAAGGCGTATCCGAAAGACGTTTACAGCAGCGATGCGGAGTACTTCAAGGATGTTGCGCGGGCGTATCAAGTCGAGTTCGATATCCTATACAAGGCTGGATGCAGGAATATCCAGATTGATGATCCAAACCTAGCATGTACGTTCATACCCCTAGCTGTGCGTACAACTGTCACAGTCCCTAATATTGCCATTGTACAGACTTTTGCTCCGAAAAGATGCTGGACGGTTGGAGAGAGGACAAGGACAACATATACACGCCCGACGAGCTACTGGACGCATACATCGACCTGTACAACGACTGCGTTTCCAAGATGCCGGAAGATATGCACGTCGGTGTGCATCTTTGCAGAGGTCAGTCGGCGCTCAGAGGTAATAGGGGTACCATAAGCAATGCTAACTGATAGATCTAGGCAACTTCGTTGGCTCCCGCCACTTTTCCGAAGGCGGCTACGACCGCATAGCCGTAAAGCTCTTCCAACACCTCAACGTGAACACATACTACCTCGAGTACGACACGCCGCGGGCCGGCGGCTTCGAGCCGCTCAAGGAGCTGCCGAAGAACAAGAACGTCATCCTCGGCGTCATCACATCCAAGTTCCCCGAGATGGAGAATAAGGACGAGATGAAGAATCGAGTGTACCAAGCCGCGGAGATCGTCGGACAGGGAGAGGTTGGCAGTAAGGAGGAGGCGCTGAAGAGACTCGGCGTAAGTCCACAGTGTGGCTTTGCGAGCCATGCGGTGGGCAATCTCGTTGGACATGATGATATGGCGAAGAAGCTGCAGTTGGTGAGGCAGATTGCGGATGAAATCTGGCCCGGTGAGCCATAGGCCATTGGCAGTCGGCGCATATTTGCATTGCTTCAAACTGGAGCGAGTTTGGATTTGAGTCCATTTTTCGGATGCCCTGGTGACATGGAGAAGCATGGACACTCTGGTTACCCCATCCGCCTGATCGCGGGATAATATAGCTCTTGTGTGGTATCACGTGATTGTCGAGTTCCATCTCATTTGGGCAAAGCTGGGGAACCTGACAGCTTGTCCACATTCTACACGGCTGCCACGGTGTGCTTTTGAGCTTGTATATACCAAGTGTCCTCGTAGCAGCCGAAAAAGCCTTACCGTGATTCACCGCCTCCCCTCAGTGAGACCACGGACGTCCCTCCGCCCGACACGACGTCCGCCGCTAAAATCCACCCTCCGGCCCAACGCATGTATGTAAGATGATGCTCCGCGTGACGGATTACGCGTAGAGAACAGCTCGCCTGCGGGCGGATCGTGCCGGATAAATCAGAGCGAGATGACGAACCCTGCGTCTGCAACGACGGGTGGTAAACCCGGGGGACCGCCTTCGGCGGCTGCCACGGCGAGGTTGAAGACAATCGTTGAGAGGGTGCTTAATGGTATATACAGTCTGGTATATCAATCTGCTTCGGGTTTTACTTTTGGCGAAGCCGTGAGGCGCTGTTCCTTGCTCCGTTTAAGGCGCGCACGTCCTTCTCTGAGTCCGTAGTTGCCTTGCCTGTCAAAACGTGTTTGGCGGCTTCCAGTCCCGTCATTCTCATCCGAGAGAAGCATCCACCAACGTTGCCTGCTACAAGGCCTAGAAGCCTTTTTACAATAATCTCTTAGTCTCCCGCTTGTAGTTCTCATCCTACTGTGCCTCAGTTCGAATGAGTGTGTCTTACGAGGATCCAATTCAACCCTCGCACCATCTAATACTTCGGTGTTGTACCAGACCCATCAGACTCCGCCAAGATGCCGGCAGGCGGGTACACGAGTAAGAGGCGCGTTATGGAGCGCTACAAGATCATAGGGTTCATTAGCAGCGGCACGTATGGTCGGGTCTACAAGGCCCAGGGCAAGAACGGTATTGTGGGGGAGTTTGCTATCAAGAAGTAGGTGGTTCTCTCTATTGAGAATATGAGGAGCCCGAGCGATAAAGCAGCCTCTACCAGCAGCCTTTGGTGATATCAGTAAAATGATGCAGAGAAGCTCTTTAATTGCCGGCTACTAATGTGGAGCACGCGGCTACTGTCACATATCAAATTCCTCCAAGAGCCGTGCTGCCTGAGTCTTTCGATAACCCCGTCAGACTTTGATGACGCAGCAGCTCTGTGCCTTTGGCGGCCGCCTTGACCTCTATGGTCACGTTCGCTGCGACCATTTCCCGGGGAGCACATTTCTCACATGCATGCAGATTCAAGCCCGACAAAGAGGGCGAGCCCCAGTACACCGGCTTATCCCAGTCCGCCATTCGCGAGATGGCCCTCTGTACCGAGCTCTCCCATCTAAACGTAGTCTCGACGCGCGAGATCATCCTTGAAGACAAATGCATCTTCATCGTATTCGAGTACGCCGAGCACGACCTCCTCCAGATAATCCACCACCACACCACCCCACAACGGCACTGCATCCCCGCGCCGACCATCCGGTCTATCCTGTGGCAGCTGCTAAACGGCCTCCTGTACCTGCACAGAAACTGGGTCATGCACCGCGACCTGAAGCCCGCCAACATCATGGTGACCTCCGCCGGCTCCGTCAAGATTGGCGACCTGGGCCTCGCCCGCCTCTTCTTCAAGCCTCTGCAAAGCCTCTACATGGGCGACAAAGTCGTCGTCACGATCTGGTACCGCGCGCCCGAGCTGCTGCTCGGCAGCCGACACTACACGCCCGCGATCGACATGTGGGCCGTTGGGTGCATCTTCGCGGAACTGCTCTCTCTGCGGCCGATCTTCAAGGGCGAGGAGGCGAAGATGGACGCGAAGAAACAGGTGCCCTTCCAACGGAACCAGATGCTCAAGATTGCGGAGGTACTGGGTGTGCCGAACGTGAAGCAGTGGCCCCTGTTGAGCTCGATGCCGGAGTACAGCCAGCTGTCTACGTTGTCTGCTGGCGGCAACAGCCGCGTGCATCGACCTATCGGCCTCGAGAACTGGTACAACGGGGTTCTGAAACAGAATGGCTATCCACCGGTGGAGAAGAGTCCGACGGGCGAGAAGAAGGCCGCAGAGAATCCTGGCCCAGAGGGGCTGGATCTGCTCAAGGCGCTGCTGACGTACGATCCCCAGCAGCGCATCACGGCGGAGCAGGCGCTGCAGCACAAGTACTTCACCACGGGCGAGAAGCCGAGCATGAATTGCTTTGAGGGCATAACGACGAAGTATCCGAGCAGGAGGGTCAGCCAGGAGGATAATGATATCCGGACGGGAAGTCTGCCGGGGACGAAGAGGAGTGGTTTGCCGGATGACAGCTTGAGGCCGACTAAGAGGTTGAAGGAGGGGTGAGTTCTGTGTCGGTTGGGGCGGAATGAACAACATATTCTAGGGAGCATTTCTAAGTTGAGAGGCTGCGGTCTCAATTTGCTGACACGGTAGATGCCAAAGGGATCTGTGGGGCGGGCTTTGATCGGGGCCGTGGTGAGGATTTGAGGGTCTTCCTAGAGTTGTAAGGGGTTGGCGCTTCAGAATGTGGCAGTGGATGGATCATGCAGAGAAAGGAAGGTAGCAGAGCGACGCCCTGAGGGGCGACCTTCTCTCGCACGGAGGTTTGGAAAAGTGTGGACCGTGATATCAGGTCACTACAACGAGAAGGACGGGAACTAAAGCGGGCGGACGAGGCCCGGCACGAGTCCATTGTAGCATGGTTGAGAAGTGGCATCTGACAACTACAGCTTCAACGTGCAGCTTGTCAACTTCTGTCTACCACCAGCTTCTTCCGAAATACGTGGTTCCTGTCTGAGGCCTGACAACTCTCGATGCCGGCTGTGCGGCGCATGATGAAGGTCTACAGCATCAAACGACGAAGTCGGAGTTTAACATCACAACACGACGGCCTGGCTTACGGTACTTGGATTGCCTAGCATGGTGCAAGGTCCGTTCAACCCGTTCGGCGACGGTGATGCCGGATTACTTCCCGCTTGGTCATCGCCCGCTTCCGCCGATGTCTCCGCCGACTTCGCTTGCCAGTGGGGAGGGGCACTTCCTCGGCTTCCGCGACTTCTGGCGACATCATCCGCCTTGCAACATGTGTGATTAGCAACAGTTAGTTACCCGAACCTTTCGTGCTGCCTATCCTTACTACCAGCACCACTACCCACCGCCGTACTCTCCGCCGAGCTGTATATACATTCCCAACCAGACCGCAATTCCGCAATGCCCGACCTCCCAGCCCACGCCTCGCCCGCCTTACCACCAATCTTCACGCCTGAGATTCAGACGCCAATGCGCATACCCTCCGAGCTGAACCTGAATCGCATGCATGACCACGCACAGCCTCAACCCATCCGATCGCGAAAGCCGTTACCGCCGCTCATAACGCCAGCAATCACCCCTCCCAACACCCCCTCGCGAGGCCAGGATGACCAGCTCCGACTGCACTCACTTCCCGTCTACGATTCTGGCGTCTCTACTCCTTCGCAGGCCGCGCTTGTTGAGTCACTCCCCGTTGTCGAATGCGTGGTCCGCGCGCGCATCCCCACCACGACGGGCCAGGAAATGTTTCTGCACCTCTACACAAACGACGTGGACAATAAAGAGCATCTGGCAATCGTCTTCGGGTCCAACATCCGGAGCCGCAGCCTAGACGCGCCGCGGCCAGGAGAAAGCGAAAGAGATCGCATGATCCGGGGCGCGTACGTCGGACGGCTACATCCCGGGCGGACGAGCTCACGACTAGAGCAGCTCCGGCGGGAAGAAGGCAGCGGCCCGACCTCAGCGCCGAGACAGACCGCCGAGCCCCCAAGCTCCTCAAACCCCAGCATGGAAGGCGTCGAAGAGGCCACAGACTCAGACGAGCCACAACCGCCCCTCGTGCGCATCCACTCGGAATGCTATACCGGCGAGACGGTCTGGTCCGCGCGCTGCGACTGCGGCGAGCAGCTCGACGAAGCCGCGCGGCTCATGCAAGTAAGCGGCGGCGGCGTAATCGTCTACCTCCGCCAAGAAGGGCGCGGGATCGGGCTCGCAGAAAAACTCAAAGCGTACAATCTCCAGGATCTCGGGAATGACACCTACGAGGCTAATTTGCTGCTGCGGCATCCCGCGGACGCGAGGAGCTATGGGCTGGCGACGAGTATACTTGTCGATTTGGGGATGGGAGGGCAGAGGGGCATTAGGCTGTTGACGAATAATCCGGATAAGGTGCGCGCGGTTGAGGGGCCGAATCGGGAGGTTGTGGTTAGAGAGAGGGTGCCGATGGTGCCGTTGGCGTGGCAGGGGAAGAGGGGGGTCAATAGTGAGGAGGTGGATAAGTATTTAAGTACGAAGGTAGGTTTGCGGTCCGTGGATGTGAGCATGTCGGATGAGAGCTAACAGATGCTTCCAGATTGAAAAGTTCAAGCACATGTTGAGTCGAGATGTATAGAATATATCGCAAGCGTCATGTTCAACCCCTCCCAGGGTATACCACAGGTCTCGATAGTTTGGCCGTCGCTTGTTATCTAGAAGCTCTTGGCTCAGATTCATCGCTTCGTTGTAGATGTTGCATAAGGATCGGAAGCTAGCCGACGTACCAGTAAGCCAGGGCTTTCCGTCCGCACGGTCTCAAACCCTTGCCCGATTCCAGTAAACAACGTCTCGAGCACACAAAGTAATCAGCTGAAAGCAAAACTTCTTGCAAGCTGAACAAGATGGGTGGCAAGCCTTGGATCGTGCAGCCGGCGGACATTACCGCGTAGAAGGACGGGCGCTTGATGCCGGGAAGGAAGCTTGCTTTCTAAGGTCCTGTACTTCGAGGCGTATGGAACAGGACGAGGCAAAGATATTCAGACGTAGAGATATCCGACGATTCTGAGACACTTTGTACGCACTTCGTTTGTGGCCATCATACCGGAATCATAATCGGGTCAAATGAGATACGATGAACCACGTAGACGGTGTCTCGATCACATGATGATTCTCGAAGTTGTCGACCGGCTTCTAGGGGAGAGACGCTTTGAGGAATGGTATGTCAGAGAAGCGCGGTCCACATGTTGGGATTTCGCCTGCAATTAAGAAAGGGGAACCCAAAGTCTAGTACTCAACAAGTAAAACATAGACGCCCCAACGCTCTTCATCCTCCTTAACCCCGCTGTGCTAGCTATCAGCCAGAACCCGCTTGGCAGCTCCGCTGTCCGCCGCTGGCGGTATTACCTCCCATCCGCTGACGTTTCGGGGAATGCGACTGCTGCACAAGGCGATGGACCCACGGCCGAGATCCAGATATGGTCTGGTTCCCTTAGCGGGGGTGACCTCTTCGTTGGGCTCCTCAACCTGGGTCCAGAGGCCAGGACAATCAGCGCCACTCTCGCCGACATCTTCGTCGATGAGGGGGGCCCGCGCAGCGAAGAGGCATAGTCGTCGTGGGATGTGTATGAACTGTGGACCAATAGGATGCCGAATAGAGTTGCGAATGCGATCATCAAGGCGATCTTGATGAGCGCGGCTAACACGACGAGCGTGTACTGGAATGCTACGGCGCAGAACTATGGCGATAGTGTTGCGGCCGGGGAGCCTGTGCTGCTGGGGCAGTATGCTGAGGTTGTGGAGGCTGGCGGGTCGTCTGAGAGTTTGGTGGAGTCGCATAGCGTGTTGGCGGTGAGGCTGCGGAGGAGAGAGGCGGGGTTGAAGAGGAAGAGGGATGAGCTGTAAGAAAGAACAGGCTCACTTGGTGTACTGGACTAAACTATTCAGTAAAGAGTCAACGACTTCGTGCTACTTTCCCCTACGCAGAACACAAATTCCAGCGGTTGTGGCTAGCCTATGACTTAGTATATCAGCGTGCAGCAATACTCACTGCAAGGAATCTGCCTGATTAAACGTTGTGCAAAGAAAGTACAATCGGAAGCCAGAAACCAAGACGGCGGAAACCGGCTACGCCCCCTACGCCGCATTGGTGCTCCGTTGTTCCCTCGACGCAATTGCGTAGAGTTCCTTCCTTACTTCCTCATCATCAATGTTCTCTTCCACCCACTTCCATGCCTTCTGAACAACGAACGTCCACATCTGTTCATCAGCTGCGCAACTTTCCTGGATGTACACAAGTGCTATGATGGTTCGAAGAAGCGGTAGCAGTGGGTCCGGCAGCGAGTCTAAGGGAGATCCAAGGGACTTGCTTGAGAGTCTCGCATCGGTCCGGATAAACTCGCGTAACTTCTCCAATACACGCTCGTTGAAGCAACTTTGTAGGCTCTGCCACTGTTGAGAAGTGGTAGTGAGTTCACCAGAGATCCGTTGGGAGCTGAGCAAATCTTCGAGGAGCGTGCTAGACGGGTCGGATAGTATGGAGAGCGTGCCACTTTTGTCCATTGCGAAATCATAGTCTGAACCTTCGTCTCGAGCCTCCCAATCCATGTTGCAGTCGTACTCGATGCGGTCATCAGATGCGGAGTCGTCCTTTGCAGGTCCGCCCAGGGCAACAAAGTACCCACTTCCGAAAAATCTGGATTCCGGAGGGCTTCTAACGTACGCTCCTTCCTCTTCCTCCCCCCTCGCCTCACCTTCCTCCTCCTTCCCCTCATCCTCCTCCTGCGCCTCCTCCTGCGCCGCCTCCTTCTTCTCCCTTGAGAAAGATCTACACACTGTCGGCGGCCAAGCAGTTCTAGGCTGGAGGGTAGGTACTGCGTCTCTCGAATCAGCTTCGGCTGCGTGTTTATAAGCAATCGTCCCTAACGACTCGGAGCCTAGGGGACCTACCGGATCGAGCCTTAATGGCGTTGGTCAGTGTACCAGTCTTTAGGAACAGATAGTATAGAGTGGATGCTTACATTTGCAAATGCGGGTGGTGGATTGCTCTCCCCAAAACAAAGCAGCTGAGGGTAGGACGGGCCTGTGGATGCAATGAGCCCGCGTGTCACGTGTCGTAGGCGCTTCTCGCCGCTCGGTGCCAGGTCACCGAGTCTTGGCCTCGTTAAGTCAGACAAATCTGACTGTTCGGCATGGTATAAGCGTGTGAAGTTTTGCACCTTGTTAGTATCGTCCACTGCGACAAAACTGGTCCACTTGGAAGAAATCGACCATTCCGTTCCTAGGCGCTGTGCCGCTCTCCGAACAGCCTCGTTGAGTTTCATTGGGAGCCCATCGCTATCCATCACCGGCATCTTGTTGTGCAACCAGCTTTCCCCGGCTTCGAGATCGTTCATAAGGGCATTGGCGGCTAGGTGATGGATCAAAGGATGCTTCGACTCAGTCCTTTCAATGATTAGACTGACGGAAACTTCGACCCCGGTCGACGATGTCGCTCGTACTTTCACTGCCCTCGGGTCACAGGCTTTGCTGAGGAAAAAGTACACCAACAAGCGCGTGAAAGCATGCAATAAGGGAATTCGGTATGGAGCCTGGATACAGGTAGGCAGATTGTCGTTCCGTGCATCGATGTCGTGTTCGTCATGAATCGGACCTTGCGATACGCCTTCCAAGCCAATCTCAACTTTCCAACGGTCTGGAGTCAAGGCAGCTTTCAACATACCGATCACTCTTGATTCCCATCTTCCTGGTGCATCTATAGCGACAACCTCGGCTAGGCCGCCGCCTTGTCGACCAATGCCTTCAATGAGCTGATGTGATACTGCATCACCGATTCCTAGGGCAAAGAATCGAACTCTTTCTTCTGCCTTCGTTCTGGCCAACCGCACGAATTCTATGACCTGTTCAGGTTGCCACACCTCTCCGTCGGTGATAACGATTACCTCCGTGTTTATGTTATCTTCGTTCCGCTGTTCCACGGCGCTCTTGAGAGCTGACAGGAGCTCTGTGCCTCCCATGTCGGCACAAAACGAACTCGAGACATAATTGGAGGCTGCATCGACATTCTCTTGGTTATATGGCATTGACTTCGGCCATAGCAGTGAATGTGCCGATCCAAAAGAACAGATGTTGAACCTGCTGCTTTCCGGAAGGCTTCTCAAGAGTACCCGCATCGCAGTCTTTAAAGCCCCAATCTTGTCTTCCATGGAACCCGAGCGATCCGCCACGAATATGATCTCGGTGGGGGAACACTGTGTCGTTACGTTCGGTTGGAAGAAATCACGGGGCGTGATGGAGACCATCATCGCCGAGTGATCAGGTCGAACCGGATGCGGCTCAAGGAGAGCGCGTGAAGCCATCCAGTCCGCTCCCGCTGTCACTATGAGCAGCACGAAGTCTCTGCCAAGAGATGCTGTGCGGCTAGACAGGCTCGCTCGAGCCTTCTTGGGATCAAATCCAGGTGTTGACAAAGCCTTGAAACTCTTTACCGGGGTTGGATGGCCTTGAGACCCGAGCTCTACTGACACAGGATGGGTTCGGCACTCGAGCTTGCGTATTGGCACCGGGGAACTGACTGCTACCTGTATCTCTAGACTCTCCTCCGCTGGAATTACTGTCGAGCTGCCGGTTGAAGTACAACCGGCTGGGGGCATGCCGTAACGGGGCGCCACTGAGGTGGGCACTGTGACCAGAAGTCCTTCGCTAGAAAGGTCGGCTTTCAACTCAGTGATGTAACAGACTTCCACTCTGACGGTTGTTTGAGCCGGGATGTTCCCGAGGCTGGTTTCGAAGACTTCCGGCGTATGCTCTTCTAGAAGTGCCGCGACACGTTGACGGACGATAGCTCCCTGGTAGTCGGATTTTGCCTCTTCTTTCGCCTTTACCACACCCTTCAATAACCTCTCATTGCCGATGCGACAGGAGAACGAAATGACTGCAGAGCCATCGTACAATGGGAAGCAGTATTTGGCTTCTTTGATAGGATGGGTGGCATTGTTCGTAAAAGTCTGCATCAATTTTGTCCTGGCAATCGTTGCATCCACCTCCACATCTACAGCGACCTCCAGCAGCGGGAGGTAAAGCTCTCTATCCTCAGCCGTAACTCTGTGCGGCGCAATGCGGAACTCTGCCAGCGGAGGCTGGACATAATTGACGGTCGGATGCTGAGCATTCCCGATGTCTGGAGGTGGATCGAACTGATGGGCATTGATGAAGATGCCTGAGGGAAGTCTCTGGATTCCAACATGGTCCCTGGGTGTATAACTGTGGTAGGCCATGATGTGCACTTGAAAACTCGGAGGAGGCCAACTTCTGCGGTGCAAAAGCGACGTTCATATGCTGAGCTGATTGTTCAGCTGCCATCTCAGCCTCGTGAATCTGTTGCCTGACGCCTGATGGCTTGCAGGATGCAGCTGCACAGCCGGTTTACCAAGGCCATCCTGTAAGCCTTGCATGAGTCTACCACCTCTTCACACCTGAACAGGAACTCAAAACCAGAACACAAGGACAATGGCGTTCTCTGTATCTATTGGCGATATCCTGCTGCTGTCTCGCTTGGCTTACCGCTTAGGCCAAACATTCACCTCAGGCCGAAACTCTGCGCCCGCCGAGTTCCACGAAGTTCAAAATCAGTTGTATTCACTGCACGACGCGTTGAACTATCTCGCTGACCAAGACGAAACCACCTCTGGTATAAACCATGATGGCACGGCTTCAAGCACGGTGGCCCCGCCCGATGGTGTACTTGGCCGTATGGTAGCCAATTGTCGCGGGACGCTCGACCATCTCGAGAAAGTTGTGGAGACTTATACAGAGCTGGACCCGGATGTTGTTCAGCCGAAAGACACCGACCGGAGAAGATGGCGGTTCAAGGAGAACTGGAAGAAGATCAAGTGGACAACAGAAGGCGGTAACCTAGACAAGTTGAAGCAGAGCCTCGCAATTCATCTGAACGCTCTGAATCTGGCAGTTGCTGCGAGGAACAGGTAAGTAATCTTGCGCTAATCCATATGCTCGCTACCACGAGATTCGTTCTGAGCCCTGCAGTACCCAGACAGACAGGGTAAAAGACCAGCTAGCTGTTGTCCATGGCATGATCGAACAGATGCATCAACATTTCCTCGAAAACCAAAATCTAAGCAGTCGTCAAAATGTTGCCACTAGCAGCACAGACCTTCGACCTGAAACGCCCTCTCGAGAAGGTCTATTACAGTCGACGGAGCCGTTATTGACATTTGCCGTCCGTGAGTTACCGGCTGGACACCAATCCGCCGTCCGTTGCTCCAAGGCTTCGTTCCACTCCGAATGGTTGCAGGATGATAGGTGCAAAATATTCCAGTGTGTTTGCGGATCCCGCCACGACCTTGACTTCTCTTGTAAGGACTCCGATGCACTTAGGGAGCTTACTTCAATAAGGTCTAATAAAGTGCAGTATTGCCTTTCAGCCTCATTGTTCGTTTGGCAGGCGACCAACCAGCATGGCAAATCTACGCATTCTCACCGAGGTACAACGCTGCGAAGCCGTTGATATTAAGTGGCGTGGCTCCCTTAGGTCAGTTCTCCGGCGAGAAGTATAGGTCTTTTGAACTTTGCTAACCCTTCCTTGAGGGCTCGCGGAACTTGACCATCAGGTCACTCAGCTTTCATTGACCCAAGGCTTACGGGCACTAAATCATGGAAAGAGCTCTATGCTTATGTATCATTCCACGCAAGAGGGCGGTCTGAGCGCGCTCTCAACCCTACGGACGAAGAGGTGCGTTGAAGCATGTTGCGGCTAGACACGCATCAAGATGTCACTGACACAGCTTTTAAGTGAGGCCACTGTCTTCCGGCGCGATATTGCGTCATTCTCCGTGGTCACAAGCGCGCATCGTTTTACCATCGATGAAGTTGAGAGTCTCCAGTTGTTGCACTATAACAATATGAATATCTCGACCTCTCCGGAGCCACAAAGTATACATCAGCTGCTTCCTTGCCGTCATGCGGAGCTAGTGCTTCATAGGGAGGAGCAAACCGAGATCGACGATGGAGACAACCTCATACGGCTATTCGTTTACTGTAAGGTGCTCCCAACATTTTTGACTCTCTTAACTCACGTTGCTTCGCAGTTGAGCATACTACTATTATTGAAAGAGCTTCTGGCTCGCGAGTCGCTATCCTAAGTTCAATAACGTGCTCTGCGGAGTATGACACGGGTGAACAACACCCTCTCAGTGAAGCAGATGTCGAGCTGCATTTCAACACAAGCGAAGGTACGTCTCAATCACCCAGACATGTAAGGACAGTTGATCCTGAAACCCATGACTAGCGGCGAGCGAGTTCGTCGATTCGGTGCGATCTCTACAGAGGCAGCTGTTTCTCTGTTACCTGCAAGGCCCGCGAGCTGACGAAATGGTTGTGCTGCGCAAGTAAGTCGGCAGCAGTCTCTGCCTGCCTCGGCTGTGTATGACTAAACTTCAATGCTCAGCTAATATCTGCAGGCACGTGAACGACGTGGTAATCCGTGATTTCCCCCTGATGAACGCGCTTGCATCCCTCGTACTCGATCCGGTTACCAGCGAGCAACGCCTGATCATCAACAGTAGATGCGGTTCCAGAACCGTCAGCATGAAGCGCAAGTCTCTGCATACTACTTGACCGGCACGCTCCGCTAACATCGTACTGTAGTTCCACCCCAAACCTCTCAGAAGTCCGCATTAAACGGCGTCTCTAGGGCTAATTCTGGCCTTCCAGCGTTCTTCGTGGAAGCAACGCCGGAGGAAACTAGAATTGCTGAAAGGTATACTGGCATGACTTTCATGCTTCCGGTCCCAGAAGGCTCTGGTGCGGGACTTTTGACGGACGAGTGAAGCATTGTAGGTAGGTAACATAGAACGTGCATCCAGTACGTTTAGCACTATACCCAGTCTGCAGTGGGTTGAATCCAAGGAGGCTTAGGGTTGATAAGTCAATGTCGTGCTGGTAGGGATGGGAGGGGTGGTGATGCCATAACCCGTACTTTAACAGCATCGAAGGTCTCGCTACGAGTTAAACCAGGGCCATTAACCTCGTCTACCAAGGATATCAACAAGGCTTTCCGACGGCCTTGACCGCTTTCGACCCAAAGAAGTACACCTCGGCGCTCCAACTTCTCATCGTCTATCGTACCCTTGTGAGCAACCTCTGCCTCACGAGCGTGGGCATGCCGCGTTGTACTCCTCCACCGCCACATCTGCCGCACTCCCAGAACACAACGAGCGCACGCATCTGGTCAAGCTCCTCCTCGTGTCTCGCGAGCAAATTTAACAGAGATCAGCGACAGGGTTGACCAGTCCTAGGCTAGCCATGCATTTTACCTATTGAAACGTCAGCGACTACACCTGAACGAAACTAGACAGGACAGTGCGTCACTCACATTACACCCCGCCCTCAACCACACCTCCTCCGGCGCCCTCGGACACAGCGCTTCATACTCCGCCTCCGCCGCCGGAGCCGTACTCACGTCACACAACTGGCGCACGCAAGTCTGCACCCCGGCCCTCACGTCCGGGAGGCAGATCTGCGTTTTATTGTACGCCTGATCTCCCAACCCAACCGCGCACTTGACGTTGCACAGATGCTTAAACAGCGGCTGCGGCGGTGTCAGTGTCGGACAAAGCGCCTCATACTCCGCATCCGCGGGCGCGGCGGTGGCAGCATCACAGAGCTGGTAGACGCATGTCTGGACCTGGGATCTGATATCTGAGCGGCAGATGTGGGTTAAGTTGTTGGCTTGGTCGCCAAGGCTGACGGAGCATTTGACCTGGGAAATCTTATTAAGAGTATTGCTGGATGGACGACAAGGCGGCGAACATTGCAAAGGTGACGGAACAGCGGCTCAGGCACAGGGTCAGGCGGCAGCAGCGAAGCGCAGGCGGCGTCGTACTCGGCGTCGGCGGCGGGGAAGGTGCTTGCGTCGCAGAGAGAGTGGACGCAGGTCTGGACTTGGGACTTGATTTCGGGTTGGCAGACGTAGGTCAGGTTGTTGCGCTGCTCTCCGAGGCCGACTATACATTTTATCTTGATGAGGTTAGCAGGTACGTCGCAGACTGGTGCGTCTGAGCCAGGGGCACTTGCGTTGCAGAGGTTTTGGAAGGGGGTGGTGCTCTGTGCGAGAGTGAGAGGAGCGGTGGCTAGAACCGCCACGATGGCGGAGAGAGTGTAATGCATCGGAGCTAGTCTATCTTAATGTTGAGATAAGTTCTGGAGTAGATTACAGAGTGCAGAGCTGGGGATCTGAACATGCAATGCGCGATGTAAGATTTATATATATCTCTTGAGATATGCATGCATAAGGCGGGCACGACAAGCTACCAGAAGTAGTACGCAATGCGACGCAGAGCAATACGAAACGATAGAGGAAACATAGTCGCTAAGTGCGACAGCGCTGTAGTGTACGACTGAACCACTTGACCGGGGCGTGATGTAGGAGAGGATAAAGTAGAATACGAAGTAGGGCTGGTCGGGTGATCACATGTGTCGAAAATCCAGAGTAGTACGAGTACGAAACACCAAATATAGAACAATTGACGAAAGGATGTTAAGACGGATTGCAAATGTCCGCGTGTTTTCAATAGTCATCCTCAGGCATTTGCTTCAATCGAGGAATTGTTGTTCTGTGAATGGCTTACAAAACTGCATAAACCTTTTCCTAACTGATTGAGCGGCAACACGAAATGGAGTCTCCTCTATTTGTGTCCAGAGGCAAACCCACACTTGGAGTATCTTTTCCTAATTCTAGCGTTCCTATGAATCGAACTGCTTGATTTTGTCCGTCTAGAACATGACCAGAAATCTATTCTGCAAGTCATACATAGCACTACGGTACCAAATGTCCTCTAGGACCACGAAATCCTAAGACAGCGTGTTAGATCAAGTATCTTGGGTACAAGGAGGGATTACGTACGCAAGCATAATCCCCGCCCCAGCAGCCATAGCAGAGAACTGCGTCAGCGTCTTCCTAAACTCCTTACCTTTTTCCGGGCCCGTCTCCAGCATCTCCGGAATGACCGCGACCGTGCCCACATACAAAAACGTCCCTGCCGTGAATGGTAGCAACATATCGCCCCACTGCAGACTGGTTCCAAACAAGCCCGGACCGTGAACCTCAGCCCCAAGACCGCTACTCGAGCCGCCAAACTCCTGCACCGCAATACCGATGCATGTGCCGAGGAAAGCGCCGACAGCGGTCAGGAACTGGGCGCCCATTGCTTTCCGCTTACTGAAGCCGCTCTGGACGAGGAGAGCAAAGTCGCCGACCTCGTGCGGTATCTCGTGGAAGAAAACTGCAACGGTCGTGGTGGCGCCGATGGTTGGCGAGGCGTAGAAAGAGGACGACAACGCAAGCCCGTCTGTGATGTTGTGGGTAAAGTCTGCTATCAGGTTGAGGTAGCCGCCTAGTTTTACTGAAGCGTTGACTTCTTTTTCTGCGATTGAGGTCGGCTCTGGGGCGGTGGTGGTGCCATTTGGCTTTCGCTGGCGAGCGGCCTCTTGCTTGGCTTGACTATGTCAGCATGATATGGACTCGTGGGACGATAAATCCTGGGAAAGAATACCTCTGACTTCAGACCCGCTAGCGACAGCACTCGCCGCGGCCTTCTCTCCTCCCTCGATCTTGCCGTGCGCATGCCCATGCCCATGATCGTGCCCGCCGTTGCCCCCCGTCGCTATCCTCAGCCCCTTGTCCATAGCCACAAACGTCACGAAGCCCACCATGATGGCCACACCTAACAGGAGGTTCTTGTTCGGTTCAACCATGACGAACTTGACGCGGTCCGGCTCAACCTCTCCAAGGAAGATCTCAGGCAGGAGATGGAAAAGCGTGTCTCCCAAAAGCCCGCCCACGGCGAAGGCTACCATGACGCTCAGCGAGGAGGGATCGATGTTTGGGGGGCATAGCGCGAGCAGGAAGTTCGGCGGGCCAGATATGTAAAGTGTTGCGAGGAGCGCATTGACGGCAGGCGAGCCGGGGAAGAGGACGGAGAAGACGCGGGAGGTGACGCTGGAGGTTTGCGGGTGCGTGGAGACTTTGTGGGCGTTCAGGGACTGGACCAAGGGGCACTCCTGGTCACTATCAGCTCTCTGTCTACGATCGTGCGCATACAGACGACCCTATATGAGATGACTTCCAACCCACTCCAAAGCTCGGCTGTAACTATCTCAGTGGACTGGAAGGCGCATTACCTGCAACTTCTCCTCGATCTCTCCAGGGGTAAGCTGGCCGATAGAGACGTTATCCTTCTCGAGAATCACTGCGGCAACTTGATACACCAGGAAGAGGAAAACGATGGCGAGCAAGACAGCCCGCGCCCTTGACGCCATGATTTAGTCTGATACGCGTCGAGATAGGACTGTTGTGCTAGCGACAAGCAGCACACGCGACCAAAGGGGACTCCACAGCACAGTGTCACTTATCGATAGGGGCTGAGGTCAAATCCGCCAAGATTTCGGAGAACCCTGAACACCACAACACCCAGAGATTATTCTACCGCGCCCACGAAGTAACGTACACCGAATTCGCGCCAATAGCGCAAACACTACCGCACAATGGGTCGCGAACTCCAAAAAAAGAAGAACCGCTCCTCCCTCCACAAAGTCACCAAAAAGCCCAAATCCAAAAAGAAGATCCTCAACAACCCCATCATCGCCGCAAACTGGTAGCGTAAACCCCCCACCCCCAGCGTCTCCCTCCCACCAAACTAACCTCCCTTCTCCGTAGGAACCCCAAAGAAACGCTCACCCAAAACTACCGCCGTCTCGGCCTCGCTACAAAGCTGAATCACGTCACCGGCGGCGTTGAGAAGACCTCCAGCGCCGACACGCTCAGCGCGCGGAAGAGCGATAGCCTGAAAATCGACGGCAGCGCGCCGACGGTCATCGAGGTCCAAGAGGCGCGCATCGAGCGCGATGCGGAGACGGGCGAGCTACGGGTCTTGGACGATCCGACTGCGAGGAGGAAGCCGAATCCGCTGAATGATCCGCTGAATGAGCTGTCTGACCTCGAGGATGCGGAGGAGTGGGAGGGGTTTGACAATGTGCCGCGGGCGGGGGCTGGAGGGGAGACGGCTGTGGTGAGGGCGTTGCAGCAGCAGGCGGCGCGGGGAGTAAGGAAGGCGCCCAGGAAACAGAGCGTGAGGGAAGAGGAGTGGATAGGAAAATTGGTGGAGAAGTATGGAGATGACTACGGCAAGATGGTTCGGGATCGGAAGTTGAACGTTATGCAACAGAGTGAGGGGGATATTAGGAGGAGGGTACAGCGGTGGAGGGCGAAGCAGGGGAGATGATGGGGCATCTGAATGAGGACCAAAATAGCAGTACGGTTGCCAGGAAGTCGGAAGAAGCGCTACGATGGTCCTCTGAGAGCAACTCTGCTCATCGAGAGCGCGTCACCGCTATATCGGGTCACCACTCGTGTTGCGCACAGCAGCATCAAGCATACGCAGGCAACAAAGGCCAAGAGGGACGAGCCGCATCCCCGCCAGCATGGTAAAAGGTATTGAGCTGCCAGGACCATGTGTCAGCTCGTGGGATGAGAATGTTGGTGCAAAGACGGCCAGTGTGCAGAGAGGGGTGCGTCCATGGGTTTGGATTACTCTAGAAAAGAAGTAGTAGCTGCTTGTTGAAGTGCTGCGTATTCCTATGAACTGCTTAAATATCTCCGTGCAAACCAAACACCCCTTCAATATTCCGTGAACAAAAGGGTACATTTTTGGCAGTCAATGCCGGCTTCCCGAGGTTTTCGCCGATGCGTAGTTGATGACGAGATTGAACTGTAGGCTCAGATAGTCAGAAATAAGTAGATCTCTGGCTATCGACAGACGTACACCAGGCGGTTTGTGGCAAAGCGTACGCGTGATGAAGCCAATTCTCAGTAAATGTTTCTTCAAGAAGAAGGCCCGGATGAATCTGCAGATCGATTCAGCATCATCTAGCATCGACCGCTGCTGCGATCCAGCCCCTGCCTCCACCCAATCACCACCCCTGTCCCACATCCTCAGCCCTACCCGCAAGCCTTCAAGCCCTCTCACATCCCCTTCCTTGACCTCCAACTCAAACACCACCACCGTTACCCCACAATGCCCAACACAGACTACACGACCGCCGGCGGCGCCCTCAAGCTAAAAGGCAGTAGCACCAGCGGCATCGACAAAAAGCGCAAGAAAAAGAAGCCCCCAAAACCGCCCGAAACCAGCGATGCTTCTACGACCGCAGGTGCTGCGGATGGCGCCTCAACCCCTCAAACCAAGGGAGAGAAGAAGAAGAAGAACGAGACACAAAAGGACATGCAGGCCCTGCTGGCAGACGAAGACGCCTTGGCAACACCCGCAAGCGCCAGCGCATCAGAAGACACCGCGCCAGCCACTCGATCCGAAGGAGGGGCAGGAGATTCGACAAAAGAGTCAGCACGGTATGCTGGCAAGACAGCCGCTGAGCGCGCGCACGAGGAGCGGCGGCGCAAGCGATTGGATGAGCGGTTGAGACGGGAGGGACTCAAGACGCATAAGGAGCGCGTGGAGGAGCTGAATCGGTATTTGTCGAATCTGAGTGAGCATCATGATATGTGAGTCCCCCTTGTGCTGGTGGCTAGATGGGGTGTTGTGAGGTGCGAGAGGGGCGTTCGCTGACTGCATCGTGTAGGCCGAGAATCGGACCGGGGTAATGAAGCTTGGAGGAATGTTCAGGGATGGCATGGCAGGTCCAGCGTGTGTTGATCGGTCCTGGCATCGTCGAGAAGGGCATGGCGAATCTGTTGCCCGGCAGCTGCAGAGGTATTTCGGGCGAGACGTTACTAAGGCAGGCATGGTCAATTGTGGATACAAGGGCAGCGAGGGATGGGCATTCAATTTCATCACATGTGCAGAGAGAAAACATTGTGTGTACCAAGCTGATATTGCTGGTATTCAGGTGCTATGAGCTACCTGCTACGGCCTAAGCCGGATCACGCCATGCCATGCCACACCAGAGTTCGTCCCATCGTGCCACCATCCTAGCACCAGCATTGTGCCTCCATATCCAAGCACCTACTCGGCCTTGCCCAAGATGTTGCGCTCGTAGATGGCAGAAGTCTTGCCGGTGTTGGCGTTCTCGATCTGGTCATGACGATCAGCTGGGTGAATTGCAACGACTGGCAGTGACGTGCGGCTTACCTCGTATCTAGGGTCGTCGTCGCTGGCATTGACGTGGCGGTCGCCGACCGTGTCGGGCTCGGTGAGGACCTTCTTGATGGTGCCGGTCGACTCGGAAGTGTTGGAGTCGGGGCCTTGACGCGCGTCAGTGAGCGATCTAGTGGATGAAGAGTGGGAAGAGAGAGTGAAGACGTACCGCCGACGGGCTTGTAGCGGACGGTGTCGCCTTCGGAGTACTGAGGCATGGTGGAAGAAGTCTTGATTGATCGCTTGAAGATTGAGTTGAAGTTTGAATGAGAGTTGACGATCTTGGTGAAGTTGACTTTGAAGATCGAATGCTTGATGTTCATGTTGAGAAGAAGAAGAAGAAGAAGACAAGGAGAAGGCCGATTATATCGACGCTGGAATTGGGCAGTCACGTCATTTCGCTGTCACTGTCAGCTGTCAACGGATCAGACGTAATCTGCAGCTCATTGCCCAGGCAGCAGAGTGAAGGTCAAGGTGAATGGTGAATAGTGAATGGGGTCCAGTGACCCCAACCCAGTAACCTGAGTGCTTGTATCACATGTGGGCTGCAACAGAACGCGTCCCTGACCGCGTAAAGCGCGACGGTCACTAAGCTTGCTAACTTCATGTTAGATGCCGTCTCCCGAGCCCAAACACCGATAAACATCAAGAGACTAGACGCAGATGCTGCCCTTAGGTTTTCTGAGCATCGTGACTTTAAACGTGACGCAGGTCCAGCTGCAGGGGCAGGGATGTCGCGGACACCATGAACGCCATCATGCGCGTCGTGCATCAGCCATCGGAGAGTCCCGGAGAGTCCCGGAAAGTTCAGTGCCGTGTAGACTCGGAAAGCGCTGCAGTGAGATGAGCAAGATCAGCGAGTTTTGTTACGAAGTGAATTCGCTTCATAGACAGGATGGAACGAGAGATGCCAAAGTACAATCACTATGGGTGTCTTCGATTTGCAACGATGGAACAGCCCAGAGGGCATATATACAATGTCTATAAACTAACCCAACCGGCAAACAATGCAATACAAGAGCCACACCAAGTAACAAACGCCTGCAGTCCTGGTATGCCGGATGTCTACCCTGTGCACCCAAACCGCACCGGCCCAATGCAGTCGTGTCTAATGAGTGTCGTGATCTATGATTAAGGATCGTCATGAAGTTGGTCGTAAGGAATGTGAAGCTGAAAATCAAACGCTAAGGTGCAAGACGCCAAACCGATCTATACAATGCAACACTTTTAGGCAAGTCAATCACCTCCTGCGCGTGGACGAGGTAGTCCTCGCCGTCGTGGTAGTCCTCGCCGTCGTGGTGGTCCTGGCTGCCGAGGTGGTCGTTCTGGCTGTGGTCGTCGCACGTACAGATGTCTGAAGAGTAGACGCTACGGCCGTCGATGCGCGTGTTGTAGCAGAGCTTGCAGGCACAGCAGCGCTAGTAGCAGCGCTGGTAGCAGCAGCAGTACCGGTCGCGGAAGATGCCGACGCTACAGTCCTCAAGGTGGATGAGGCGAATGGCGTGCCCACTGGTGGTGGAGCGTTGTGGTAGCTGATGAGCGCGGCATTGATCTTGTCCGCATCCCTGTAGGCGTTCAAGCCGTCGAAGAACGCGAGCTTGCTCTGAATGGCAGAGGTGGAGAAATCAGCGTCGTTTATGGGTTTAGCAAGGTATCGGGGCTCCATAGGGTCGATAAACCTCGTGGTCTCGGGATAGCCGAAGCCCTCGAGGGCGGTGACGTTGATGGCGGCCATCATGTCGTGGTCCTCGTGGATGAGGTTGTGGCAGTGGAACATGTAGACGCCGTCCCATGGTGCGTATCTCGCAATGACTGTCGCAGTCTCGCCGGTGCCGAGGACTACGACGTCCTTGAGCGCTTCCCTCTCATACGGCTGAACACCCCTGTCTCCGGTACGCTTGACGATCTGGAAGTCGACAAGATGGATGTGAATGGGATGCGACCAACCACCGCTGCTGTTCTCAAGCTCCCAGACTTCAACGGCGCCTCGCTTCGGCCTAGCAAGGATACGGTTGTTAACGTCGGCAAACGTCACGCCATTGATCTGCCATTCGCCATTGCCGCGCTCGAACTTGAAGTGCTTGTCGACGGTAGCCTTATTCGGTGGGAAGTCCACAGCCCTAAACGCCGCGGGAGGCTCGCCATTGTTGGCAGTGCTCGAGACAGTGGTGCCAACAACGAACTGCATCACTCGGTCAGTGCCAGCGTAGTCGTCATCAGCGAACACGTCGCGGTCGTTCCGCATGGTCACGTTCTTGCCCGCAAAAGGCGCGAAGTCGACAATCATCTCCCACCGCTCAGCCATGGAGATAACGAGAGTGTTCGTGGAGACCGGCTTGGTCATGAGCCCAGCATCGCCAGCAATCATCTTGAATGGGATCTTCGTGCCGAGTGCGCCGGAAGCCTCAAACCAGACACGGAAGGTACGGCTGACAGCGGCGTTGAGGAACCTAAGACGGTACTTGCGTGGCTCGACCTTGTGGAATGGCCACGGTTCGCCGTTGACATGGAAGACGTCGCCATAGATGCTGGTGGTCTCGTCCTTAGGATCGAACAGAGTACCGTCAGCATTGTACACCTTTGCCGTAAGGGCCAAGGGGATGTCGTATTGTCCGGATGGCAAGCCAAAGGAATCTTCAGAACCATCGTGTAGGAGATAAAAACCAGCTTGGCCGAAGTAGGCATTCTCGGCTGTGTGGTGGATAGCATGATCGTGGTACCACAAGGTCCTAGCGGTCTGTGCGTTGGGGTAGTAGTAGTCCTTGTATTGGCCTGGCTGGATGAGGTCTTCGGCCCATCCGTCGAAAGGTGCCCGACTGTAGGAGCCGTGTAAGTGGACTGCGCTGGCCATGACGGCCCTGTTGATGAATCGAACAACGGTCTCGCGACCCCTCTCGACCCTGAAGGTCGGACCGGGTGATATACCGTCATAACCAACAAGCTTTGCCGGCTTCAGGCCTGGGTAGACCTGCTGCTCGAAGGACTTGATCTCAACCTCGTAGTAGTCGATGGCAGCGCCGGTGTTTGGATTCGTGTAAGTTCTGCTAAGTGATTAGCCGCTGCCAGTGCAAGAAACTGGGTAAAGACCACTCACAGTTTAGGTGACTTGGTGGGAGGAAATGGTAGCGGCTTGGAGTAGAAGTCCTTGTAGACAGGACTGATCCATTCGTCGTCTGCCGCCAAAGCAGTTTGGCCAAGTAGGCCTAGTATGCCCCAGACACCAAGAGAAGCACGGATCATCTTGTCAAACATCTTGAACGTTGTACAAGAGTAATGAAGTGGGGGAATAGTGCACTAGAGTTAAGGAGTAGAAGAGGATTGGTAGTACAAGAGGCAATGTGCTCAAAGTGACTCGATGAAGAGCAAGGAAACCGTGGACTGATGGGATATAAGTACTGCAAACCATTCGATAGTCTGGTCGAGGCTCACAGGCCCTCGCCATCACAAAGCAGTGGAATGACATCTGCAATCGAAGCGATCAGACGCTAGAACCTGGTCTAACTACTCGGCGCTGAGCAATCAGTGGGTCGAACAGAGAACGACTCGATGAGATCTCGCCTAGCTACGGGCAGAAGTCCCAAACTCACGGAGAGGTGAGCATAACCGGGCCGCCACCGAAGGGCTGGAAGACGGCGGACCGGCAAGGGCATCATTTCGTGCGTTAGCGAACGCTCAACAGGGCGCCACCTCGTTGTCGCAAACTGTCATGATGTCGGGTCGCGCTTCACGATGGCGTGGTTGGCGCAAGATCTTAGAGCCGGGAAGCTGGTACAGCCTCGACGTGATCCTTGCGATGAACGGGCCACGACGGAGCCAGAGGCGTACTGCCAAGGCCCATGACTCTGGTCCAGATGGCGGAGCCTAGAGATATACTAGAGCATCTCTGAAGATTTGCACTCCGTTGCGACAGAGATGATCTGAGCCGAGGAGCTGTAGAGGAATGCCACTTGGCAGAGGGAGAAGGGTCCGGACTAGACAAGCCACCAATGGCGGTTCCCGGCCGACGATCGACTGTTCTGTATGTACGGGTATTGTTTTCGGGACGTCAGGCGCAATACCTCGTACCCCCACCGGAATACGAGAGCGTGCTGGCCAGAACGAGGTGCAGGGCGTGGCGACGTCGTCCCGGCTGTTGCCAGGCAGCTGGGCCAGGCTTCGCTAAGCTTTGCCAAACCTCCCAGCCCGAAAATCTGGGAGACGCAGGTCGTCACCTCAAGCTTTGCTGTCAGTGCTGCCAAAACCCGGCGGAAGCCAACAAGAGCTCGGAGCTGGAGCGGAGGTAAGCATGCAAGGTCTTGGCGGTGATTCCAGATTGCCCGTGCAGCGGACGAGGCGCGCGCTAGTGGTCGTCTCCACCATTCACGCTGCGATGATTGTCAGCCATCTGTCTGCTTCTGTCAATGCATCAAGCGCAATAGTCTGTTCGGAGATGCCGCCAGGATTATCTTCTGGAAGCGCAAGCCACACGCGGTTGGCAGATGTGACGCTTTCCTTTCGAGGAAGTCGCTAAGCTTTCGCCTAAATGTGCTTCGCTTCGCCCCCGTAATGGATGTCGTTATGCGGATTATGCCGGAGACAGACCTTGGGACCTCCAGATCCAGACACTTCACCGCCTGCGTAGACTGAAGCCATCCGCAATGTGTTTCTGGCTTCGTGCGGCTTGCGCATACTACAACTGACATGTGGCAATCGTTCCCCCGTTCACGCTGCCGAAAGAATGGAGCCGTGATTGCCCTTGCAGCCGCACTAACCGAGCTGACGCCCATTGTATTGAAGCGTCATTCTGCAAGGTGACCACAAACCCGTCTTCCTGATTTGTCCGTAAGGCATGCAGATTCGCGGCTGGCTTTTCAGCCTCAGACTAGCTTCTTGCAAACCTAGGTAGGCTGCCTGCAGTTGACCCCTGCACATCCTTCTAAAATCCAGACGGGCCCTTGGGCTATCCACGGGGATGACACATCGCGTTGGTTTTGTGAAGATGGTGAGTTCAGCTATCCGGTACCCTGATCGCGCGCCGATATAGTCGCTTATCGTTTTGCCCGTGCTGGCTTCGTCTTTGGGCATGGAGAAGTTACATCTTCCGTGCGCCTTCAGCATGACTACAGAGTCATGCTGGAAAACCCGGTTGGTCTTTCGAATGTTTCCCACTATCGAATTTCTTTGGACGGCCTTGGAAAGTAGGTAGAGCCTGCAACACGGACCGACGCAGCAATCCAAGACGCAAGAGTCGCTGGTCATCATCCGAGACAGTCCCCGCTCTCAAATTTAGCTCCCACTATTGCGCAACTCTATTCGATCCTTCGGTTCTTCTTGGCCTCCACAGACTTGAGCCAGAGCAAGCCTCACCATCTGGTCAATCTTGGCCCTCGTGAACTCCGTTCGGTTAAGGTATCTCAGGCGATTCTCAGACGACCACGGGAACCCACGACTCACGAAGCAACCGGTATGCTCTCGTTATCTCAGCCGCAAACTATCGATACGGTCGTGCGTTAAGCGGCCGCACCTACCCATAGAGTACCAGCCGAGGGAAGTCCACCAAAGACAGCGTGGTCAGCTACCGCTCGGTATGGTTGAACCGTCTTCTTTTTCTTAAGAATGTGTGGAGCTCTCCGCATCTGTGCTGCAGGGCTGGGATAGAAATCCATCGATGCCGATCATGGATCCCTGGACGAGACCTGTTGCACAATGTGTTGCACTGCAGGCGCCCCCAGCACGGGTCTTGCGGTCCACGAGGCTACGGAAAGGCTGTGCATGCTATCGGCACCAGAAGTGTAAACATGTGCCGTCTTGCAAGTTGATAGACCGAGGCTGGTGGATATGCTGGGAAGTCTCACTGGCTGCCAGGTAGCGGACGACGTGTGATGACATAGGTAAATCCGTGACCGGTGCTGTTTACAGCAGTTGTATGCGTAGTCTTACGGGAAATCAGATTATACAGCATTCGCCAACGTTGTTACTATTGAATTGAAATTGCTGGTCTTTAGCACATGACCGCCGTCTTTGCGATTCCCATTACGGCTACTGTTGTTAGCCTTATCGGCTTTAGGCCCCCTTCATACCAATTTGAGTAGCATTATTGGAAAAATCCATTTCGCACAGCACGTAATTTTAAAGAACAGTGGCCAAACTGGAGTCGGTGAATTCTGTACGTAAAGGCCGTTGTTGCGACCGATATCATGGCTCTTCGATCACCACGGCAAGCGCAGACGGCGGACTGACCGCGGTGCATCGTGATGGTGGCATCCGGGGCTAACGATGCCGCAGTGGAAGATTCTAGCAGCGATGCTAGTGAGTGATCGTCTTTGAACACAGATGGTTCTAACTTGGTGATCTTTTCCGCCCATTGCCGATTGCCAAGAAGGCCTCTACAGAGCATCCGCTCCGCAGGCTCTCTAGACCTCCGCGGGACCAACATGGTAAGGCTGGATGCGGCCGGGTAGGTAGTCTTTGGAATAGATGGACGCTAGTGGTGATGGTCTTGTTGTTCGGCCTGGTGTTAGGCTAGTTGCATGACTGCATCTTAGCTCGATCGACTTGCCGTTGGGTAACCACCGACACTCAACACTATTAGCGGGAGGTGATTTGAAAAACCGGCAGCTAATCGTCACTCGCGGGAAGAAGACTCAGCGGAATGTTTTCCGGACATGGGCGTGGGATCACGCTGTGAAGAACACAATGACATCCACTGAGGGTAGTGGGTGGATTGACAAAACAGAGAGATGCAGGCGAGAGATCTCCCTCAGTCAACCCTAACGTAATCCTTTGCCATGACCGCCACTGGCTTCTGGGCGACTTGCAGCAAGATCCATCAAATCAACAGCATCCTCACAGCGCTGGTTGCGTCTCAGAGCGTCATGCTTTTTGATCCCCCCCGCGGAGATCTTGTGCTCCAATCTCTTCCTTGGGCGTCTTCCAGATCTCTTGCCCCCCCATCTTGTTCCCTGCCCATGCGTCACTCCATGACCGGATGCGCGTACTGCCCCCACTCTCACTGGCGCACTCGCTTTCATCGCCGCTGTCGTACTGACTGAAGCGGCTGATGACGGTTTGTCGTTCCTCCGTATCATGCTCGAACGTCATCGAACTATGACGCGAACAACATGCTGTATAGACATTCGACGGGTCAATGCCTCCGCCCCTGCTATACACCAGTGAGCGAAGGTCCTGGACTTCCTGTTGAGAGAGACGAAGCTGGGTTTCGAGGGATTTTCTCCGCCTACGTTCGCGGTGCAAAGCGGCGGAGAGCGCTGCGTAGTCGTCCGTCAGTGCAAAGGCCTTCGTCTGTACAGGTCGTGGACGTATTGTCAGGATGTTGGGCGAGATCAGTTGCGGCATCGATTCAGAGGGTCTTTTTGGATGCGAAGGAGAATCCTGCGAAACAACATACTGTGTCTCATTCCTCGAGCTCGACGATGCGGCAACTGCTGTCCGGTGAGAGGGAGACGCCGGCGTAGATACGGCATACTGGCTTGGACCAGGGCTCTTCGAACGCAACCCAACCGAAGATGGCTCCACCGAGGAGTCAAAACCGTGGTCGGTTACATATCGATCCTTTGGTGGATTCTCGAAGATGACGGTCTGGCGGTGGCTGCGCCCGGTAAGCTTCTGAAGAGAGCTTTCGACGCTCCGTATGTTTTTCTCAAGACGGGACAGGCGGGCTTCAAAGCCGTTACGAGTCTCCAACCCGGCCGTCACTTCTTCTGAGGTTCGTACACCAGGTTGTAGGGTCCTGGGTACAGAACCTCCCGATCCGCTGCGTGATGAAGTGTTTATTGGTTTTACTCCTTTTTGCAGGTGCGCCGTTGCATCAGTGCCTGTTCCGGGACTTTTTCCACTCCCTTCCACCACGACTTCTTCGGAGCCACAGGAGCCAATCGAGCTTCTTCCTTTGATATCCCTCCATAGCCCGACGTCGGCACTATTCCTGCGAACGCTAGCTGCATTGCCCTGCTCCTTAGCAACGTTCCACAGATAGCCAGCGTTACGCGACCTCCTTTTTGTGAACTTTGCATTTGTCGTCCTAAGAACATCTGTGACTTGTGCTGCAGATTTTGCCGAGCTGTTTCCGTCTGGAGCCGTCGCTGGAGTACCTGGCCTCTCCCGGGGTCCGTTTAACGCGTTAACATCGGTTAACGACGCAACCATGCTTGGGAGCGTCGCTCGTCGGCGGTGTGTTCTGGATGGAGCTTCGAAATTGATATTGCTGGGAGCTTGGCCAGTATCTGCAGGTGCGTTGACGTTTATAGGAAGAGGAAGGTGGGATCCCAGTGGATTCAATAATCTTGGCTCTGAAAAAGGCGGAGAGAAGCTACACTGAGAGCTTCTGGCCCGCTGGCTGGCCTGTACACTATTACGTCGGCCTGTCGTCGCGACTATACTCCGGGGTTCCTTATATATCCAATCGGGTCAGTGATGTTTCTGAAGATAAGGTTGGGCGACACACGCTTCGGGCTGAACCATACCCTGGCGGATATGACGCCACGGTCTTGGTTCTACTTTTTCTGCCAAACAGGCGTCGGATAATTGACCTCAAGGGGCTACTCTTCTCCTGCTTCGCTGAAACCAATCTGGTTGGTACTGCGGTAAACGATCCGGAAGAGTTGGGATTGTTGTGATCCGACATTGCCTGGCCTGGGATATTGTAGTGCTGATATATAGCACTTCTCTCTTCATATGCCATGAATGGACTCTTATGGCGCAGATGTGGAAGGATCGATCGGGATGTCGGCTGCACCACGCTTTAATACTCAATCACTAGCAGGTCCAGCCTGGCACAGGTCGACCAGATGGGTGAGAGACATCTGCCCAGTTCAGAGGTACAAGGGTTCGGTATATTGCTTCTTTAGTACTTCGCCTTCGCCGGTGACCACTGCGGAACGCTCTCAAAACTTCAAGCCTTTCTTTCCAAGCCGTATGAACAACGAGCCGGAATGCTTTGGCTTGCTTTCTGCTGGGTAGCCCTGAACCACGTGCTGGCCACGGCCTTGGCAAGATGTAGCTGCGCGAGTCGGATGGCTGCATATGATGAAATTTCCTGTATCTCGCACGAGACCGGAAAGCCGGTGCATCTTCTGACTTTTAGAGTTTCTGTAATGCCTCAGCGGCAGGAGGGCTGCATCAAACGAACTGCAAGGCACACTGGAAGCGGGTTTTTGGGGTGGGGGACTTCGCGAGATAACGAAACGTTCAAAGGCTTGGAAATTGGTTCGAGGCACATGCCAACATGGCTCAAGATACGAAACTAGAAGACGGTAAAGGTAGGAAGAAAATGAGATGCGGAAAATCAATAGGTACAAAGGCAAGATAACTGTCCCCACTGTGGAGACGAGAAGCTGAAACGGCCTACGCAACAAGCTCCGAATCTGATAACGGCACGAACCGCAGCACTAGTGATGCTTGAGCTATGGATTGGAGCGCAACGCCACGCCCCTGATAAATCACCAAGGAGGCTCTACGTGTAGCAAGATGGATGGCATGCGGCACCGACGCTCTGACCAGCGAGATAGTTTACGAGGGGTACAAACGTTTCAGCTTGCCGTCGCAATCCACTCACATATTTCTTACTCAATGCGGAATTTCCGGCAGCGCCGTCAAGGGAATGAATGCCGCAGCGGCATGAGGTGGCAAGGAGGTCTCCTGCATCGTCCTGGCTTCATGTGCGTATGCGAAGGCAATTGCGCGCTGTAAGTCTTTCGGCCAGATAAGCCGACCGTTTGAAGATCTGTAGGCCCCTGATACTTTGCAGGTGAGGTGGTCGGAAAAACCGAAGGAACCATATACGATGCGAGTTCCATTGATGGAGGTTAATCGGAAAGACGTTGAGGTCAAGGGGGCTACGGTTGGCTTTACAGGTTCTAGCGGCAGCTTCTGACCAATCAGCGTGGATATGGGCCTGTCGCGCGAACTACGGCTAACACGCTTCAGGAATGTCGTTTACCTCACCGCGCTACGAAAGGAGCCGGTATTTGCCAAGGAAAGGGCAACCGGCCCACAAAAGAGCGTACAGCAACACCCCATGCAGAGGCGGCTTCAAAGCAGATACAGCGCATATAAGCCGAGAACAGACACGAGAGAGGTAGTCTAGCAACCTTCGAATCCTCACACATAAAAAATTGTCGTCTTAAGCGGGCAGTAACAATGGTTGCCAGCTATTGTGCCCTTGTTCGGTAAATACCGGCTCCTTCGTACAGCAATTAGTCTTCTCGATTTATCCGTGTGCAGCGCGTCAACCGCATAGACATACTGCTCTAATTTTCCCGTTGCTCATGTCCTTGTCCCGCACTTCCGTGATTGCCCTCTTTCCATGGCCGGCCATATCAGGCCTTGGTCGACTGGCTGCGGCTCATCTGGGAGCTTCATTGTTACTCACCCTGAGCACGGAGATCGTTAAGGCACCTCCGGCCTCTACCCCTGCCTCATGCAAGATCCTGAAGATCGCTCGCATTAGGATATCTCAAGTCCGCGGTTTCCTCCAGGAATGCCGTCCACCGCTTGAGAAACGAGCTGCCACTGGTGTATACCATGAGCTATAACACCTTAAATACAACTGGAGTAACCCATGGACACTTGAAACTTACCGGCCGACGGTCTCCGAATCTCCAATCACACAGAGGTGTCTCTTTGGTCGAGTCATTGCAACTGATGCAGTGTCAGTAATTTCCCATGCAGGTACACTGCAGGTACACTGCAGGCGCGGTAACACGAACGCAGAGCGTGCTGTCTTACCATTCAGCCGGCGCTTCTCACCAAGGAATCCCACCTCATGCTCCGGATTGCTTCGGACCAGACTCACTATCACCGCCTCCTTTTCTCTGCCTTGAAACCCGTCGACACTCCCCAGCTCAATGCCCGGAAAGGCTTCCTTGAGCAATTGTGACAGAACTGCAAGCTGTGCATTATAAGGTGTCACTACCGCAATGTCCTCGGCTCGCACGCCCGCGTCCACCAGATTACGAACATGCAGCTTGACCAGCGCCGCTTCGAGCTCGTTGCTTTTGCTCTCTCCAAGGCTCATGCCTTTCCCTGCCTTCTTGCCAAATTCTTCATCTTCGGTCTTCTCGGGAAAATCTCCACCTTGAGTGTCCCAGAACACGACAGGCTCTCTGCTGTCCTCCGTATCCTTGACTTTGTAAGGTAGGTCTTTCAGTAAGCGCGCTTTGACTGCGTCTGCAGCTACCAGCTTTCCTTCGTACAGCTCTTTTGACGGAAAGGCCATGATATTCTCGTGCATCCGGTATTGGGTTGTCAGTATCCGCTTGATCGATGGCCCGTGCAAAGCCAACAACCGATCGAACAAAGTAGTCTCAAGAGTCATGTTCTCGACGACTTCATCTTCCTTCGCCTCTTTCGAGGACTTAGCCTTTGAGTTCAAGGACTTGATCGTAGGTGGCAGCTGCAAGTGATCGCCAGCCAGCACGACCTTCTTAGCGGCCAGCAGGGGAACCCAGCACTGCGCCTCCAGGGCCTGGCTAGCTTCATCAATGATCACGACATCAAACTCTTGGTTCTTGAGATGAAACCCTCCTGCACCATGCAATGTCGCCAGGACTACTTTGCTTCCTCTGACAAGGTTATCCACGCAACCGCGCTCCCTCTCGCGATACTCTTTTCTCAGTTCCTTTAGCTCACCGTAGATGGCTCGCCGCTCTCGGCCGTTCCTCGTCTTGCGGATACTTGCTTGCTTCTCGTCCATCTCTTTCCGGACGTCTTGCACCAGCGCGCCGGCATCGCTTGTCCTAGTGAGCACATCCAGTGAGTGGTTCAGTACGGATGGGAGCAGTCGTGCTGGATGGCCCAGCCGGACTATGGGCACTCTGTGCGGCGCTAGTCTTTCCACGATGTTGTCGACTGCGATGTTCGACGGACCACATACCAGTAGACGCAAGTTCTGCTTCAACATTTGCAGTACGAGCTCGATGAGTGTATGAGTTTTGCCAGTGCCGGGCGGTCCATGTATGAGCGCCATCTCTTTCGATAGGAGGGCAAACCTGATGGCGTCCTTCTGAGAGTCGTTGAGGCTGGGATCAATCCAGGCGATATTGTCAAGGCCGTGTTCAGGATCTGAGAGGTTCTGTGGTACCGGCGAAGGGAATGACAGGCCAAAGAGCACGCGTACGAACGGCGTATACTCTGCCTCCTTGAAGTTCTGCAGCCGTGTCATCGTCTGGGTCATGCTTCCAGCTGTCAGACCAGCTGCTCACACCACACCTGCACAATCGAGCATACCGTTTGTACGTAACATCATTAGCGAGCTTGATCCTATATACACCATAAACATCAGTCCTCCATCCCCATCTCGCTCGGCAGCAGACACATGAACCCACAGCCACAGCTTCCCCGCTGGCACCTCAACCTCCTCCCTGTCCAGGGCCACCGCGACTCCCGCACTTGTGACCTTCAGCACCACTCCCGCCACCCCCTTCGCCTTCACCTCAGCCTTCTCTCTCTTCTTCGCACTCCCGCCCACCTGCTCCTGCACGCCCACTATGTCCCCAACCCTGATGCCATGCTCAGGGATGTCGCCCCCACCGACAGCAGGATCGAGCTCAAGATCGATAACAGTCTTGCCCCCGAGCCCGGTCCGCTGGGACGAGATCTGAAGGTTGAGGATCGCGACGCCGGCGCGGGCGAGGGCTGTGGGCGAGGACTGGGAGGCTAGGGCTGAGGTCTCGGAGAGCTCGGCGCGGAGCTCGGCGTCCAGGAGGGAGAGCTGGGAGGCGGCGAAGGTGGGGATGTCGGTTGGTGGCATTAGTGTAGTCGGTGCGGAATTGCCGGTACGGGGGGGAAGGTGGTGTACTGGATTGTGGTTGTGGTGGGGTGGGACGTGGTTTTGGAGGTGCTGAGCACGTGACCGCGTGCTTAGCGGACGCGAAGTGATGACGTCGGTGCAGCGCCTCGCTCGGCATTGAGATGATGGTGGTGGAACGAGTATCTTGACTTTCGCAAGGTACATTCAATACCGCAATGAGTACTTCACGTATAGCCCGCGGCACCAGCAAGATTGCTAACTCAGTGTCTTCAAAAAGTGAGCCATTGCGCGCAACTCAAGGCCGAACGCTTATGCATTATGGGTTTGGCGCAGAGCACCCCGTGGCAGCTGGGAAACGCGCTGTAAAGCAAGAGCTTGGAGATGAATCCGGATCAGAACTCTCCTCTGTGCCCTCAGATTTGGATGAGAATCTCGAACCTGTAGACGGAATTGTGACTTCTCTCCACAAACGAAAGCGCGGCGCAGGTACACCGACTTCGGAGACGACTACGCAGAAAGACATTGTCACCACACAGACACCTCCAAGGAAGCGGCTAGCTCTGGGTGTAGAGCCAGACACCGTCGCAGCCAACGACAAAGCCAAGAAGTCGCGTCGTACGCCAGCGAAGAAGATCGTTGGCGCACATGGCAAAGTCAAAGTCGAGCCCCCGCCAAACTGGGAAGAGGTGTATAACCTGACGAAGGAGATGCGGTCGAAGGTGCTAGCTCCAGTCGATACGATGGGTTGCGAGAGTCTGGCGGAAGGGTATCGGTCGCCCCGAGACCAGAGGTTCCAGACGCTGATTTCGTTGATGCTTTCGAGTCAGACCAAGGACACGGTCACTGCGGCTGCGATGAGAAATTTGCAGGAGAACCTACCTGGCGTATGTGCCTGCGTTCTTTCCATGATTCAACAATGTTGTTACTGATCGGCCCTGCTCCCCAGGGACTTACCCTCGAGTCAATACTCGCAGTCTCCCCAACCCTGCTCAACGAGCTCATCAGGATGGTCGGCTTCCACAACAACAAAACAACCTTCATCAAGAAGACAGCCGAGATCTTGCGCACCTCCTTCAAAGGCGACATACCAGATACCATCGAAGGCCTCGTCTCCCTGCCTGGCGTCGGTCCAAAGATGGCATACCTAACCATGTCCGCCGCGTGGGGCCGTGACGAGGGTATCGGGGTCGATGTGCATGTTCACCGTATCACCAATCTGTGGGGCTGGCATAAAACGAAGACCCCCGAGGAGACGAGAGCGAGCCTTGAGGCTTGGTTGCCGAGAGACAAGTGGCATGAAATCAACAAGCTGTTGGTAGGGTTCGGGCAGACGATTTGTTTGCCTGTTGGAAGGAAGTGTGGTCAGTGTGTACTGAGTGAGAGAGGATTGTGTCCGGGTGCGGTAGTTGGGAAGGAGGTCAGGCGGGTGAAGAAGGTGAAGGAAGAGGTGGTGGGGGGTAAGCCTGTCAAGCAAGAGGTGGAGGTGGAGGTAGAGCGGGCAGTCAAGGCTGAGGACGTTAACGGTGATGCTGTGCCTGATATGGAAGATGTCGGGGGTCCGCCGCAAAGCAGGCGGAAGTCGAGAACGCTAGCTTCATAATTCAGGCAATTGTCCTTTCTCAAGAGGCTCCCATTCTGTCCATGATCTGATTATGATCCCTCTTTCCTCCAGTTTGTGCGTTTCACTGGTCTTAACTTCTCGAGACGACATCAAGTGAGGTTTTCAGTAAGTGTGTATTGTGAATTTCACCGAGGGGCCAGAACCTGGGACTGGACGGATCCTCTGCGTATCTTCCTTGCCTGTGTTGTTTCGTATACTTGGAGATACTCCCAAGATATGGAGACAGGTACCACAAGTGCTCAAGGAAGACCCGATTCGCCAGGTGTGGCAGTATTAAACGTCTGTGAAGGAAGCTTCAGGGGTTTGATCAAAAGCGATCTCCTCATTCAACGGACGTTCATGAAGCCGACTATTGCACAGTATCTTACAGTCAGTAGTGGACGCTTCGCCAGCATGATAGCTCTACTCAAGCGTGGCAATTTAGCGGTGGAAACTGCCACGTTCGATGACAAGCATGACTCTCGTCATTCTAGCGCATCGGCTACTTTACTGTGAAAACGCAACACAGCCTCGCCGACACAACGGGATGGGTTTACGGAGCCGGGCTGCGCTCCCATCGAGAGTGATAGCAAAAGAAGCCCCCATCTAACCCCTGACACAAATTGCTTAACAGCAGAACCACTGTCTGGCGACGGCCTAGAGCTTGTTCGAAACCCTAACTCTAGAGATCACAAAGGCAAGTTCCTTCTGTAAACCGTGTAATGTTAGGGTAGGGGACTGAGGTAGTTGGAAAGACGCGTCCACTACTTCGTAGCACACGCGCCTATCGTCTGGACGCTGAATTTGATGTGCTTCTCGGCGAAGTGGAGGAATGTTGTGGGCGAAGATAGGGCGTTGAACGTATAACACAGCATGGAAGTTCTGCCGCTCTCAAAGATGGCGACAAGGAATAGGAACGACTGGTAGTGGAGCAATATGTTAGGACTAAACCAAGCTAGGACTGCGGAGAAGCGAATATCTGCTTAACAATTGAAGAAATTGGTCTCTTGCGATTCAGTGCACAAAAATGTAGGCTGAGTGACATTGTACACAAACAGTTCTAGAATGCTCTGAAAATATTGTCTCGCAAGTCTGCTGTCTATTCCGTCTTAGGACATACAGATGTAGGCTGGGCGGCCTGGTATGCACATGATGTTACAATGTTACAAATGTCTTGTCTCGCAAGTCCGGCGCCGCGGGACCAAGTCCAGAATGTGGTACGGTGATTGTACAGATCCTTGTATGTTACACATCCCATACACAACCGAGTCCGTTTATCTATACACGCGGCTGGTCCGACGACGCTGCACTCTGGCCACCCGTTAAGAAGCTCATATCTCCTTCTCTCCTTTGACTCTGGCCCGAGCTCCTGCTCACTTCACGCTCCTCAGCCCCCTCTTCAGCCATGCCTAACTGATCTTGCTCAGCTGCAGCTGCCTCTGCTTCCTTCACCTCTTCCATCACCTCCATCCGTACACCACGGCTCACCTTCGCCTTCGGCTTCGCGTTTTTCGGATCCGCATCTGGCGCCTGATGCCTGAAGTAGCCCATAATCTCATGCGCGACAGCAGAGGGCCAGCTCTTTGCAAACTCGGCGTCTATGATGTTTGCCCATTGGATCTTCACGCCTTCGGTTTTTGGTAGATACGGTTCCTTCTTTAGCGCTTGTTTCCGCAGGGGACCGTATTTTGGTGGGGGCCAGGGGGCCTTCTTCTCGATCTTGATGCCTACGACGTCTGGGCCCGCTGTGTCTGGGATTTCGCCCTTTGCGCGCTTCTCGACTTGGTTTTTGGCGTGCAGGAGCTCGTGCTTCTGCCGTCGCAGCCGCTTCAACTCCGGCTCTTCCGCTCCCTCTGGCTTCAATCGCGGCTCCTTGCTCTCCGCCTTCTTCGCCGGCTCATCCGACACTGCCTCTTTCTCCGCCGCTAATTTCGCCTCCAACGTCTTGATCTGCTCATCCAGCTTCCCCACCTCCCCATCCTTCGCGCGCTTCGCGAGCTCCTCCAACCTCCCCCACCTCTCCTTCTGCCTCTTCGCCTCCTCCTCCGTCCTCTTCACCAGCCCCTCCTCCCGCTCTACCCCCTGCCTCTCCTGCGCAAACAGCACAGCCGCAAGATCCGCAATACTGTTCGCCTTCTGATCCATCAGCATCATCTTCCTCTCCTTCTTCCCGGGCTTCCTCTCGATGTCCCGCCACCAGTCCTCGCCATCTTCCTCCTCCTTGTCCTTGTTCCTGAGCTTCTTCCCGGGCCCGAGGAGGACGTGCTGCCGGCGCGCGGCGACGTCGTCGAGCGTCCAGGTGGTCTCGTGCAGGCGCCGGAATTCGCGCAGTTTGCGGTAGGCGGAGAGGCCCTGCAGGGGCGTGGGGAAGGAGATGGTGTACAGGGGGCGCCAGAGGTCTTTACGGATGGCGCGAGGGACGGAGTTTTTGCCCGTGTAGGTCAGTTGGGAGAGGGCGTCGTTGTTCTGTGGGCAAGTGTTAGATGGTTGATCAGGTAGGGGCGCGCGGAGGTGGAGGGGGATTGAGGGGAGTGTGGTTAGGGAGAAGTACGTTTATGGACCGCGTTAGCGAGTAGACGACTTGATTTGTGCGGAAGTTGTTGTAGACGTAGATGTGTTGGCCTTGGGCGGCTTTTTTGGCGGCTCTTTGGGCGGTCTCCATGATGGCGGTTGCGCCCCGGGGGACACGGCGCTGGACGACTGCACTACGGCTTCGCCCGGAGGGTTGGAGACGAACGGATGCCGTGAGGCCTATGGTGTTGGCAGCGCCGTCTGTTTGTATGGGACTGGAAGCTCGAGATGGAGCTCTGGATGTTCTCCGTGAAGGTTTCGGGATGTTGCGCGGAAGACGGGAGATGCCGTGGCATCCATCAGCGTCACGGCAGCAAGCAAGCAAGCTTCGAGCCGAAAACAATGTGCAGAAGCCATTGCCAGAAGCCGTTACAGGATGTGTGCTCGCATGGGCGATAGTACTGGCGACTTCAACGCATCCAGCTGGCGCACTCTATCCTCGTCGAGCAATCCAGGCTGACATCGGCTCCCTACTCTCCTCTCCGCAGGCAGCTTAGCATGGCTAAAGATGAGCACACGAGCATGGCCGAAACAGCCGCATACGCAGTGCCCCAGCGAGAACGGCCGTGGCTGCTACCATACGTAACACCAACCTCTGCCCAATTCGACTTCGACAAGCACTAACGTCTCCAGTAGAACCGCAAGCTCCGGCACCTCCAAGCCATCACAATCCGCAACCTCACGCTGCAGCCGCCCCCCAGCCGCCCCCGCGGCAAGACCATCGACGACGAGGCCCTCCCCTTTACCCTCAAGTCGCCCGCCAAAGCCCTTGCCCAGCGCGAGACCCGGAAGCTCGAGCACTCACGCTCCTCCTCCGACCTCCGGCCCATCAACGAGTCGGCTATCCACGATGACGGGGAGGCTGTGGAGAAGAACAAGACCAAGCAGCTGGGGACGCCGCTCAGGCCGTCGTTCGCTAAGATGCGCAGGAGGAGCACGATGGATTGGTCGGGGCTGTCGCCGCTGCAGAAGCAGAAGAAGTTGGAAGAGGTGACGGCGGCGAGGATGGCGGATGTGTTTTACTCCCTCCATGTTGAGGGCGTTGAGGGTGCGCATGGAGGACATCATCAGACCTATGGTGTAGCTGACGGCGTGCGTAGACCCCGTATACGTCAGTGAGGTAGCTGAGAAGGCCATGGTATGTTCGTGCTGTAGTTCTTGATGCTCGCAGAGGCTGACCATACCAGAACCCCAATTTCCGCTTCTTCGACCTGAGTTCCTGCGGACCGGCTGTGACGAGGCTAGAAGACCTGACAGTCCGGGTCTGGGCCAAAACCGAGGCAGTGCAGGACTACCAGTTTCTCGTCGAGCTTACCATCAACTTCCGCTCGCTGCAGTTCATCGGCAAGGCCGTAAGGCCCTCTACCCGTCCCCACATCTCCCCTATCTAACAAACCCCAGCTAGAAAACTTCCACCACCCTCTCCCTCACAACAGCATCCTCTTCCACCTAACCGACGGCGTCTACACCACCTTCACCGACCTCCCCACCGAAGCCCCCCTAACCGCCTCCCTCCCTGCCCCCGCCCCCGTTCCCACAAAACCCTCCCTCGCCAAACCCCTTCCAACCTCCTCCTACGACGCTTTGATGCGCCTCTCCACCCTCGACGACTGCATCCAAGACGCCCTCACCACGCGCGAGAAGCTCGCCGCAGAAATCTCCGCCCTCCTCCAGTCCAACGAACCAGCCCTCACCCTCGCGCGCCGCATCCCCGAACTCCACGACCGCATCCAGACCGTCTCGTCCGCCGTCAACACCCAGCGCCGCCGCCTCGACGCCACCCAAAAACGCTGCGCCGACCTCCGCGCCAGCATCGCCTCCCGCCGCCAACTCATGCGCGAAGGCCACGCCGCACAAGCCGCCGCCGAGTCCGCCATCACCACCGCGCAGCCCGAGCTCGACGACGCGAAAAAGGCGCTCCAGGCGACAGGGGAAGCGATCACAGCGCAGCGCCGCCGCGTGTGCGAGGACCTGGGCTCCATCTACCCGATCGAGCCGATCGCGGGGCGGGCGCTCGCGTTCACGATCCGCGGGCTGCGGCTGCCGAACTCGGAGTTTGAGGATATGGGGGATGAAGACGAGGTCGCTGCGGCGCTGGGGTGGGTGGCGCAGGTTGTGCTGCAGCTCTCCGCCTACCTGGGCGTTGGGGTGCCGTATCCCGTGCGGCCGCACGGCTCGACGAGCGTGGTGGAAGACCCGGTCAGCCTTGCCACAACCGCGACCACCGCCTCCGCTGTGACGGCAACGGCGGCAGGAGGGGCGGCGGCCACGTCGGCAGCAAGGATCTACCCCCTCTTCCCCCGCCACGCCCTCCGCTACCGCTTCGAGTACGCCGTCTTCCTGCTGAACAAGGATATCGAGATCCTGGCCAACTGGATGGGGATCCGGCTTATTGATATTCGCCAGACGCTGCCGAATCTCAAGTACCTCCTGTATGTCGCTACGGCGGGGACGGGGGAGGTGGTGGGGCGGAAGGCGGGGGGTGTGAGGGGGCTGTTGAGGGTGGATTTGAAGAAGGGGGGGAAGGAGGAGGTCGAGGCAGGGGAGCAGGCGGCGAGGAAGCTGAGGGAGGTGGCGAGTGCGAATGGGAAGGTGGAGGTGGGGAAGGGGGATGGGAACGGGGCGGTGGGTGGGTATGGGAAGGTGCAGAGGGCGGTGCAGGAGAGTAAGCTTAGGGAGGTGAGCTGATACGGGCGGACTCGGTGTGCGCGGGATTGAAGAGGTACATTGCGGTGGGGCTCAGCGCCGTTGGTATTACGGCACGCGGAGTGCACCAGTGCCTTGAGACGTCGGGATAGATGATGGTGGCTGGAGAGGCGTCTGTAGTACGGTTACGCGAGGAAGAGGGATACGCTCGTCTCCATGCTGCTCCGGGATCTAGGAAGATACAAAACGAGGTCTACTACAAAGGTGCGTTGCAGGTGGGTAAGATGGATGGATCTGTACATTCACATTTCCATATATCTGGTGCGTGGCTTCATCAAACTATCGTGCAAGGCGCAACAGCCATTACCGTTGCTGACCAGAAGCGAAATTCGCCAGCTTGTACCCACCTAAGTCAATCCCGCAATGTGTCGGTCTTACGTGCCAGCTCTCTTAGGCAGGAAGCATAGAACCCTACAGTCCTTTGAAAGCTCGAGAATTGTTCGTGCGAAACACCTGCCTGACTTTTAATTCTACGGCTTCCTTTGTTCACCTCTGGGACACTCATTCAGAAGTCCGGTACTCCAACCCACCAGGCGTCAGACACAGGGAGTCTCCAGCGAGCTCATCCACCGGAGCCGCCGCGATAAGACGTTAGGATTCGCATTTCGTGATCATCGCCAGAAAACTGATCCCACCAGCATCGCCCACGAGTCGGTGTAGAGTCTGTACCAGCCATCTCGTTGTAATCGAACATCGCATCGAGAGGCCGCGTAAGGCTCGCAAGGGTATGCTAAGCCCTGTCCCGAGTGCCTGGCCCTAATCCGTGGTTCTCAGGTGGGGCGAACCATGGCTATCACCAGTCTTGGCAAGGTGTTGAGCCGGGTGGTCTGCGTCACCATCTCAGTGGATAGCGCAATGAACAGCATCATCACCACGGGTGTTGAAATGCTCGTGAAAGCCAGTGATTGAGTGTTCGCTATCACATGAGAATTGGAGCGCCTATAGGGGCTCGTTGGATACTGAAATCATCTATGTCTGCACCGGTTGGTTGGTAAACCGATTGATTGAGTGGTGCACTGTCCCATGGACCCCTAACGATGGAATGATTCGGCACGATGGACGAGTGTGGAACTAGGCATGCGGATGGACAGCACCTGTAGCGGAAGCGTTCAGTGTGCCTTATCACGGAGAGCTAAGACGGCACACATAGCACAAGTCTTGATATTAGACCGAACCGCTGCGACTGTGCAAGAATGTGGAATGAATCAAGGGCGGGGAAGTAGGAAAGGTTCATTGATTTATAGCGTGCGACTCGGTGCAAGCGATTGCGGTACTTCGCGTGAGAGGTCCTACAGGTGTCTCCGTTAACCCCTGTGTAGGGGAATCAAGACGAATCCATTCGATAAAGCCGTGACCACTAGGAAAGATTCTCGCGGACCGGCCGAGATATAAAGAAGTAAGGTTACAGATTCGACAACCAGCGCTTATAACCTCGCACCGTTTCGCATATGCTATTAGAAATTTCAAACTATACTAGTAGCGAAGAGTTCCGCCGTCAGTTCAACTGCTCTAGAAACTACAGCTCGAGCAAACGCCGCGGGAGTAGAAAATGACGTGGTAGTCTCTTACCAGTGACGGTAGAGTCATAAGCTATCGCCGTGTTAGATGTGGAGTGTTTTTGCACCTGTATGGCTGAGAATGAAGAGAAGATCTTAACAACATGAGATGCAAAAGCAAACATTCTGAAGTTGCTTTCTGCAGACAGTAGGTTGTACACAGCTTCATGTCCTTCAATGTATCTTGTTTAGCAGGACTGCATGCTGCTACTCGAGGATGAATCCATGGCTGGGATGATCTCTTCCGGCCTCAACCTCTTGTACGAATATAGGCTGAGACTTCGAGACTAGCAGAAGATTTGACTTCCACATCAGGCTCACCTATGATGGTAGCCAGCTGGAATGGGTCCACATTCAAAACTCTACACGAGTATATCGAAGGCGTCAATCGCGTTCTTTGGCACGCAACTCATTCAATTGCTGCAGAGCTGACAACCTTGTCCCAAGGATGCAACATGGAGGCTTAGTTTCCGGCTGCTCCGCAGAATTTAATCCTTGTTGTCGCATTGAAACCATCAGATTCTCCCGCAGTCTTCCTTGGATTGCTAAGCAGGGCAGTCCACCTGTTAGCGGTAGTTGGAAGTCCTGGCGCACACGAGCAGGGAGACTGCCTAGAAAACCCGAAGAGTCAAATCCCGGGGAGAGCGTGCCGGGACTCCAGGCCTTGCCATGCAGTCAGTTATGGCCCTGCGGATGCACTTAATTCCATTGTAAAACTGAGGCATTATTCTGAATAGGATTCCGGCATGCAATCTTTAGCGGCCGCGGCATTTGCCGTCGTGCGTCGTTCCGACGGCGCGGTCCCGAGCTGATCCAGAAGGGCAGGTGGGGTGATGAAGACGGCGCGAAGTGGGATGAAGCTCTCGGTGAGAACTGCGTTAGTTGTCCAAGTTGCTCTTCAAGACCCTTCTGAATGACTTCCCGTACTGTTACTGGACTGCTTCCGGCGTTCGGCGCATAGCCTCGCCTAAGTAAATTGAATCTACATAAGCTATTAGCCCACACGGTTCGATAGTGCCTATGAAACATGAAAGCGCTCCGGAACGGTCGGTAAATAAACTTGGGAAGTGGCTGGAGAAGCTCTGGTTATTCAGCAGAGACGTGCTCAGTGGCGGTACTTCGGCCTCATCGATGTGATCTCAAGACCCGGCATTTCACGGCAGATGGGTTTGCTGCACGTCGCCGGATGGAAACTACTCTACTGCAACAAACCTGCAGCCGCGATCATGTAGGGTTAAACCGCCACGAGAAGTGTTCAGTAGCAGAAGGCCGCGAAAGGCAGCCATTTGCGGGTGGAAGAGGAGGGAATATCCGATGTGAAGCGCGTCAACCCATGAGCCCTGTGATGTGACGTCCGTCGTTGAATGCTTTTGCTGCGCCAGCCGCACCCTGATCTCCAGCTCTGCATGGTCCCTCGGTTTGAGGGGTCCAACGCGGTTCGCGTTGACAGAGCTACAGCCATTGACATCAGCTCGATAAGCTGTCAACATTTTTGCATCCTGGTTCTTTTCCTTTCCTATAATTAGGTGAACATCTACGGACCGTGGCACTAAGGCAGGCTGGGGCGACAGCATCAACCATCCTAGGAGTTGACGATGGTGGGAAACCACGCTTGCTGGAAACCTGAAGGGCCCAGCAGGTCTACAGTACGTTCTGTGCTTAAAACTCGACCCAAGGCTGCACGGTAGCGAAAATCTCGCGGTCCGCTGCAACAGGGTTCGTTAGATTTGCCGCTGAAGACTCTTCCAAGGTTGGTTCCAAAGATCGCAGGAAGCTTAAAAGTAGAGGACGCCACGGCGGCGGACTCTCGTGCGCCTCAGTGTCTCGTGCCACGCTGGGCAGGCGTAGAAGGTAAGTATTACGAGGGCGATCCAGTGTGACTATCGATAGTGGCGGTTCCCGCGTGTGCAATTGACCTCACCTCATGTGTGAGTATCTGCACGGAGTTTGAGGGATCGCGATCTGCGTTCATGCGTCATTCCAGGCGACGCGAGATTACATTGTCAGAAGTAATCGCTTGCAAAACAGCATTCCGGGATTCGCTACCTCAGTTTTCCGTGCTCTGATAGGATTACTTTGGTCTGCTAGACAGTGATTTTTTGAGGTTTCCCGTCGATTTCGGACCTGGACAACCCTCCGATCAGCCTCCAAGAGTCAAGCCTAGCCTAATCGAGGCGCCCAAGGCACCCCACGGCTGGGGGCTTGGAAGCTCATGCCTTGGACCGCTGACAACGCAGCGGCGCGAGGAAAGCGTTACTCGAGTGGCCTTGGGGTGCATGCGAGCGCGCCTGCATGCGAGATTAAGCCGAGTGACTGCATTCTCGGTCTTCTTTTGGCTGCTTTGTAGTTCAGCAGCCGCAATACCCGCGCTGAGGAATAGAACGAGTGTGTGAGTTAGTACTGAAGACTATGAAAACACCGCGTTCGACTTGCTTGGATTTTTGACGTCCTCCTCTAACTTTAGAAGCGCTAAGCAACCGACGGAGCGTTGACAATTTCACTCGATGCATACGCAGCCTCGAACACGTTGCACGCGGCGCCAGACTGCTCAGGCTCGGCAATGTGGAGAGCGAATGCTGTTCTGAACGTTGGAAGAAACGTCCAGAGACTAAGCGATAGCACGAATCAGAGAGCTCCCCATTGGAGCCCGTGCTGAAATGTACGCATCGCTGGAGAGATGCAGTCACGCTATGCGCGGGACCATCCCCGGATTTTGGCCAAAAGAGGCATAGCAGGCGCTAGGTGCACAGACCGTGACCTGCGCGCTGGTAGCGTAGATGTATCGGAGCCTTCTCCTACACCACACGGTCATGTATCGTTTGGATTATGACAACCTCTTTGTGCCCACGGGAGGTTCCCCAGAGCAGGTTCCAGCAGGAATGTCCACAGTCTTAGAGCCGCTCCCGTTTTGAGACAGCCGCCAGCCTGCAGCGATTTGAGAGCGCCTCGAGAGGGGACAACACGATACGATCGTGTACCAGATGGAACATCTACACATATCTAGAGTACAAGGACTATCGGTGGGCTTGAATGTGACGGTGGCTGCCAACCCAGGCAACCCAGGTCTGGCCGCATCCTGCTCCTCGGAGCGTGCCAGTATGGCTGCATCCGTTCGTCTGCAGGGCTTTGAAACCCGGCCTTGCTTGACACTAAAGCTCGACCACACAGAGTTTAGGTTTGTATTGATGGGTATCTCCATGTAGTCGGAAAAGGCGCTCAAGAATATCTCAAAGGATCGGTTGGCCGTTTCGATCAATTCTGGGTATTGGGCCCTTGCCTAGCACAATCATTTTTGGTGCTTAATGTTCTGTACACCTCGATGGTCGGTCCCACAGCCCTGATGCAGGATCGAGATTGATTGTCTACACGTGTATTGTTACACATTGGTGAAACTCCTGTAGCTGGGAACTGCTAGGCTGAAGAATCTGAACGGTACCTCAAAATACGTAGCACATTCATGTAGATTTCTCGGCTGTCCCAAAAGGGTCTGCGAGCAAGGGTAGGTGTCAGAACCCCCGCCGCTGCGCGTCCTTGAAGACTCGGTCGAGCATGACGGTATCGCAGCCTCAAGGACCCCGTCATGCGCCGCCGGCAGCGGCGTTCTTGTTCGCGTATGGGAAAGTAAAAACGTCGAGCTGGGAGCGAACAGCCGATCCTCAAGCGATTGATCCTGCAGGCAGCGAACGACGCTGCAGTGTCATGCTACGGGTACTTCCAGAAGCTGTGCATCAGTACCCCGAGCAGCAGTATCGTGAGTTAGCGGAAGATCTTTCCATTACCGCCGCCGCCACAGCGGCCATGCCTCACCCGTTCGCAGCAGTAAATCCGCCAGACAAATCACCTGTTGGCCCACACCAACGGCAGCATGAGGCCTCGGCGACCCACCCCAGCTTTTTCGCGCAGAGTCCGGGGAGCCAGTGGCCAATGCAACCGCAGCCTGATCGGAGCCGGACCAGGCCATCGACAGTCTCCGGGCTCCCACACACTGAGTGGCCGGGGAGTGCATTGACAGCGCGAGCAGCAGCATCGTCATCGTGAAATGGAAGGAGTGAATCCCTCTCTTCAGCAAAAGCAGTCCTCCCTACTCTTCTCAGCCGCTGTACGCCCACGTTGCAGGACCTAGAAATTCGCAAGCTCCAGCAGAGAGGCTGGGCCAGCGTGGGTCGAGTCCCTGTCCCTGTCCCTGAGGAACACCTTGGACCCCGAATTTGTGGGGAACGCGTAATTGGTAGGGTCCGGCCGCGCTCAAGATCGACCGCGCAACCGGTCCTACCGGCCTGCTCCTGGCACTGCACCCTGGGGCAGGAAGCCGAATTTGTCTAGCCGGCCTGCGCTGAGCAGCAGGTGACTTGGAAGGCACTACCCTCGTACCTCCGGCCCACCACCGTGGGCAAACGTTGAAGCTTCAACATCGGACGCTGCGCTGCTTTCTGTCCATAGCTATCCTTCGTGTTTATCTTGTTCACTGCATCATATCATATCCATTGGCTGCAGAAGGCCAATGCCGCATAGCCTTATCAACCATTAAGCTACACGGGCCGCCGGCGTCTCGAGTCCGTGACCCGCACTGCGTCCGCTGTGGGCAGCACGGTCAAGTGGGTGGCATCGTGTTTCTCAGCGTGCAATGGGACGGCCGACTAACGCTCGGAATCACAGACAGTTTCCTCCTCGCACTCAACAACCCGTTTTTTGACAGCGTCAAATTCGTCTCTTGCAAGGCTACGATCGTGGTCGGTCGGTGGTGCAGCACCAACACCCTCGTTTATTCACACGATCCTCTCGGAACTTAGGGGCTCTACGTTATAAAGGGTGCGAGAGTAAACCTTGTTCATTGCCCTCCGCACCTATTCGGCGTCCGTACATCTCAAAAAAAGAACCGGGAGGGAGGCTGGCCGCGAATCGACGGAACCCGCCATGGCTGCTTCAACAAGCGAAAAGGCTTCCGGCGAGGCACATGGCTCTACAAACAGCAGCAACAGTAAGCATGGCCCCTCAATACAGCTTGCGGCGTATCATGATCGCTGTTGAATTGCTTGGTTGCTGAGTTGCATTGCGAATAGCCGCTTCCTCTGACCTCAAATCCGAGCCCACGCCGAACACCACTACTGCTAATTTCCCCCCACCCAAGACCGACAAGCCTAGGCCACATGTCTGCCAGACGTGCGGAAGATGCTTTGCGAGGCTAGAACACCTGAAACGCCATGAGCGGTCCCACACGAAAGAAAAGCCTTTCGAGTGCCCGCAATGCCAGAGGTGCTTCGCGCGACGCGACCTTCTACTGCGGCACCAGCAGAAGCTGCACCAAGCAGGCGCGGCGTCGTCAAGACCGAGAAACAGCAGGCGTGAGAGCACATCCGGTCAGGCAGCCAATGGATCAGGCAGAGTGCGCAAGAACTCCATAGCTAGTAGCGTTGCGGGTTCAGTCGGTAATACAGCGACCTCTGGCATGAGGCCCCGGGCGAACACCATTAGTCATATTGATATGAATATGATGGCTTCGAACGCTTCGTTGGGCAGAAATTATGGCGTTATTGGCGGACATACCCACCATCCGAGTTTGACTGGTCTTCCAGGCGTCGGAACCTACGAGTATCGGGGCATGTCTACCACTATGGGCCCCCATAGCAGCTCGCATGGCTTGCCCAGACTCGACACCCAGCTCGGCGCAGGGCTCGGAGGCGGCTTGCGCACAGCTCCCGTTGCAGGGTTTGGGGATTCATTTGATGTTGACAAGTTTCTCCACGACGCCACTATCAATCCAGCGCAGCTGCATTTTGGTGGCGCCGCTGCACACCCGGGCTCTCCTTTCCCAACGTTCCACTCATATACTGGCGATCAGCTCATGGAAGCGGAACAAAGCTTCCAGTGGCCCCACAGCAGCATAGACGATCCCTTCGCTTTCAACAATGGAAACGATCCCGTTCTCGACGGGTCCTCACCGTCAGCCATCAGCACAGCAAGCCAAAGTGGATTCAGCGAAGTTATGTTGGACGGGTCCAACAATCCGGCGCAGAAGAACGGCACGGTCTGGGGAAATCGGAATGTACCTCCGTCTATGTCCCATAACACGCCGTTCAGCATGGAACCGTTAGGATCGTCGTTTCACAGCCTATTAAGCCCTATGCACACGATCTCGCCTCAGGATCTCCATGAGCAAAGCTTAAATGCAGAGCTATACCTCCACACGCCTCCGGCGATGCCGGTCGTGAGTCCAACAGCAGGAATACCGGGGATGCCAAACCAATACTTTCACCCACACGCAACATTCAACTGCGATAGCACGAGTATTTCTTCGTCGTCCGTGAACGGGAGTGCAAGCGCCCGTCACAGCTCAGTTACATCAGTTTCATCAGAATCTATAACGGACGCAACGCGAAACGCGCTGATCATAAGCCTGTCGCAACCAGTCAGTTATGGGCAGAACCAGCGGAAGTACTCGCAATCTACTCTACCCGCATCGTTAGTCCACAGTCCACGTGCCACACCGACCGCACAGCCTCCGTCGTTACCTAGTACGGTTGACCTCCAACGATACGTGAGCGCTTACATCCATTACTTCCATCCGCACATGCCGTTCTTGCACATACCAACCCTCACGTTCGATGCGCCCGCGTTCACAAGCAATCTACGGACTGCAAGCGGCCATGTGAACTTCGGCCAGGATGGTATCATTGGTGGTGCAGGATGCTTGATTCTTGCCATGGCCGCGATCGGTGCACTGTACGAGTTCGAGCATGCTGTTGCACACGAGCTTTTCGAAGCCGCTAAGAAGATGATCCATCTCTACTTCGAAGAACATCGCAGGGCGAACGTTTCTGCCTCTCTCCGCGGAACAAATGCTGCCGAGCCATCGCGTCTTAAGACGCCCGTATGGCTGGTCCAGGCGATGCTTCTCAACATCATCTATGGCCATAATTGCGGCGACAAACGTGCAGCTGAAAGTGCGACAACCCAATGTGCTGCTTTGATAAGTCTTGCGAAAGCCGCAGAACTCGACCAACCGGATTCGGACGTTTCCACCAACCAGAACGGCCTGCCTGACAGGGACATCACGATGAGTGACGACGGCTTGGCGTCCGAACTATTCAGGGCTCACTCCCGCCAGGATTACTCGGACGAACATCCCCAATGGATTGCTTGGAAGATACGCGAAGAAAGGAAACGCACGTGGTTCGCTGTGTTCATCCTCTCCAGCCTGCTTGTAACAGCGTACAATCAACCTCCCAGGATCTTGAACTCGGAGCTCCTCCTAGACTTACCTTGCGAGGAGAATCTGTGGTCGGTGGACAACGTTCACACTTGGGTAGCCTTGGGTGGGGCGACTGAAGCGGAACGGAAAACCGTATCATTTGCGAAAGCCCTTTCGTTCTTGCTGACTGCGAGTCAGAGGCCACACGCTGACCATCAAATGGGCGCTTCCTACCACGAAACGCTAGGCACCGACGTGTCCATGGACCAGTTCCCGGAGAGCGAACTGAAACCGAGTACTTTTGGGTGCTACATCCTGATTAATGCTTTGCACGTTTACATTTGGGAAACCCGACAAAGGCATAACGGACGACTTTGGACTACCCAAGAAACGGAAACCATGCACGCTCAGGTTGAGCCAGCACTGCGTGCCTGGCAGACTGCGTGGAGAGCGAATCCAAATCACAGCTTAGAGAGACCGAATCCCTACGGACCCCTCCCAGCGGACTGCATCCCTTTGCTAGATCTGGCCTACGTGCGCCTCTTCGTAAACCTGGGGCGCTCAAAGGAGGGCTTCTTTACCGGCGATTTCGATGCAATGGCTGAGGAACTGGCAAGAGGCCACGAGATCATCCAACATGCAGACAGCTCTCCTACCGACTCGACCGACATGAACGACTCAACCCGGACCAGCAACACTTCAACGCATTCTCCGGGAATCGTTGCGTCGCCCCAAGACCTAAGTGCAATGGCAACCTCTAGCCCCGGAACGGCCATGTCCAACACTGTAATTGATCAGGCATCTCAACTGAGACTGTCTTCCAAGCGCGAGCGACATCTTCGTAAAGCCGCCTTCTACGCCGCCGATTCATTGGCCATGTCGGACAAGCTTGGTGTAACCTTTGCTGAGTTCACGTCAAGAGAGCTCCCGCTTCAGTCAGCCATGTGCACCTTCGACTGTGCGCAGGTGCTTGCTGAGTGGGTTGCAACTGTGCAGGAGCGTGTCGGTCGCTACATGGGCATATTAGGCAAGGATGAGATTGATTATCAGCAGGTGCCGTGCATAGTGCTCCTTGAGGATGAGGACGTCAAGCTTCTCCAAAAGATCCAGGACATTTTACAGAACACCGAGATGAAGATTGCTTACGGCATGGGGGGCATGGGAAGCTTGAGCAACCCGATCCTGTCGACTCTGAATCATTGCGGCTTTGGAGGCAAGCTTCTACTGATGACGGCTTACATGATGGAGAAAGCCGCCGTCTGGCCTGGTGAGTGCTTTTCGAGAGGCGAGTTTACGAATGCGCTAATTGTCCCACAGTCACGCGTGTCATGGCCAGAGCTCTTGAGGCCCATGCTGCCCACATGAATCAGCGAGCCGCAGCATCTGTATCATAGGTCAGCTGCATGTCTGAGTATACACTCGCCTCCTGTCGCTTCAACTGGCCTCAATGCCTGGCAGGATGTTCAGTCAGTTCAACCGCCCCGGCTCCTGGCGTGCCATTATCGATATTTATAGCCTGAGGGCGACCGTACGGTGTGCCTGCAAACGGCAATGTAGAAGTGTTCCTATCAATTATCGACAGGTTCGGTACTGTAGATGTCCTAGCCGGGTTCCATACCACATGCACTGCAAGGCTTCGCCTGGTGCTCACGCAGCCAGTGCCACTTCGTTCTCACGATAACGGTCGACAGCCAATCTTACTGTACATTCTTTCCGCACCACTTCGTTACCACTCTAATCCTGGCCACACCTCACGGCTCGCTCACATGCCATATATCCACACCGCGATCCGGCGTACTATATCCACCACCACCCCCACCCGCAAAGATATATTGCTAGTAGAAATCGCTCTCTACCTCCGACCACAACAACTCCCGTTCTGTTCCCGAAAAGCCCATGTCGACGAAGCGAGACGCGCGCAACGAAGTAACGCTGAATCACACAGACGGGACATACCATCTCTTTACGAATTTACGGCGCAGGCTTTCTGTTGCATTTCTCATGAGTTCTGCGCAATACTGGGTTTGAAAGGGATTCTCGTTTGTCGGTCCTGGGCTTTGTGGGGGGGTTTTCACACTTCTGGGTTTTTCTTACATCTTTTGGTTGATAGTGTCGTTTAGTGAGTGATGTAGGGAGGAAAAGCTAAAAGCAAATGCTATGGACGATTGGATTGAGCCCTACCTCTGGATCGTGTTGTCGAGTTTTTGTGACGCTTGATATGCTTCCCGTTGTTCTCGAGACGAGGATGAATGACCAGCCCACCTCCACCATCCTCAGCTACTAAACTGCAGATTCCCCTTCAGGAGTTCCACGTAGAAGACATTATGGATTGTATTGGAAGGCTCTGTCTAGTGTTTCATCTCAGCACACCAACTCATTCCCTTAACTGGCGATATCTGACACGTATACCCGTACGAGATTCCGAGCCGCTTACGCACCCGCTCCTCTCACGCCCATCTTGCCTCTTCACCACCATCTCCCGTCGTGTTGTCACTGCTACACGTTCACCTTATCATGATAGAAGTGGAATGATACCTCACTGCTGGCAATGGCGCCACTACTGGATATCTTTGAATCAAGTAGAGCAATCCGCAGCGGGAATGTAACGATGCTATGAATTCTTACGGTGCTTTGGGACTGCGGCGCTAAAGCTTGCGATGAAAAACTCTCGGGACGTGCTACACACGATGGGTGGGCGCCACATTGCCAGCCAGGCATCAGACAGCGCATGCAAGCGCCTGGATCTACAACCACCCCGCTTCAAATGATATCATCCCGCCTCCTCTCCTGGCCCTCCGCGTTCGTGCTACTTTTTTCTCCTCTGCCTGATGGGCCCCTCGACCGCGGCATCCATGGACATCTCATCGCCAACCGGCTCGCCGTTCAAGAGCACAGTCGGGCCGTTCGCACTGCTTTTCCCCCGTGCGCTTCCGTTCAGTAGGCCGTCCGCGTTCGCTAGCCCGTCGCTCTCGTCATCAGCCGCCCTGGCCTCCCTGACACCACCTTTCTCCGTCGCCTTCAGCTTTGCAACCATATCCGCCTCCGAGCTCCCTTCTAGCTCCCCCTCATCCTCCTCGTCGCTCCGCTCATCCACAACCTCCTTGCTCGTCACGAACCGAACCGCGATCTTGATGATCAAGCCCAGCCAGAACAGATTCACAGCCTGCAGGGACGCGAGCAGCGCAAAGGTGACCCACTGGGCGAGCCGGCACTTGTATTGCTCGGTCTCCCAGTTCAGCTCGAAAGGGCCGACGGTGCTGTATTCGGTGAGGATCGAGTACAGGATTTGCAGGTTGATGTGGTGGCGGAGGTAGGTCCAGACGAGGATGAAGAGGCCGAAGTAGGGGCCTACAAGGGGGGAGGAGAGGTAGTTTAGGGTTTTGGAGGACTGTGGCTGGGGTGTCAGCTTGTTGGCTCTTTCCGCTCTTCTAAGCAAGGAAACTAAGACACGGAAAAGGGAACTACTCACAGCAAGGAAAAAGTCCGAGATGTCGTGCGTGATATACACCGCGAGCCCCATGTACGTGAAATGGAACCGATAGCTCAGATAGATCAGCGCCAGCGTGATGACATGGTGTCCAACCAGCTCCTTAAAGTCCTTCCTCGGCTTCTCCAGCATGAGCAGCAGCACAATCATCTGCTGGCTCCAGTACGCCGCCTGCAGCAAGTAGTACGCCTTGAAGATGCCCAGCAGCGTCCTGTGCGGAAAGCCCTCGTAGAAGGCGCGCGTGTTGAAATACCACACCGGCGTCAGGCTCATCACATACAGCCCCAAGGGCCCGAAAACGGCGAAGTAGATTGCCGTGTACAGCTGCTCCATGAAGCGGCTCTGCTTCGCGCGCGAGGGGATGCGGAAGCGGATCGCGAGGGGCCGGAGCAGCCGCTGCATCAGGAACTCGCGCGTGAAGGACAGCAGGACGGTGTAGAAGGCGACGAAGGCGAAGTCGCGCCGGCCCTTGCCGTACATGGTCGGCGCGGAGGGGTCGGCATCGGGGGCGCGTGGGAGCGGGTAGGAGAGGAAGAGCGCGGCGGAGACGGGGTTCGAGGGCGAGGGGTTGATGAGGTAGAGGCCCCCGACGAGCAGGCAGATGAGGAGGGGGTTCAGCCAGGTGTGTCGCAGGGAAAGGCTCTTCCAGCGCCGGAAGAAGGACTTTACTTTTCGTCGCTTGGAGCGGCGGGGGGTCTTTTCTGAGGAGGTGCGCTGGGTCGTGTTAGTCGCCGTCTGTCTGACGTGCTTCAGGCGTGAGTTGGGGGGTCGGATTGGCCTCACCGATACTGCTGCGCTGGTAGAGGGTGATATGTCTCGGAAGGTTGCTAGTGATATTGTCTCCGTGTCTCCCGGGGGGTCCGCTGGCAGATTGATCGAGGACCTCCGCCGGCGACGTTCTTGGGAGGCATTGTTCTGTTTCCGGGCAGGTTTTGGTGGGGATTGCAAGGGCGCAAAGGGCTCTGAAGCCGGTTGCGACATGTTCACAGGCTTCTCTATGGTCGGTGTTGCGCTGCTGCGCTGTTGTGCTGTGGTTGTCAGCCTGCGAGGGCTCTCCGTGTGAGATCAAGGGGATCGCGGTGCGCAATTTTACTAGAGGTGAAGGGTCGACCAATCAAGAGCATCGCAGCGGCTTAAGACGCAGCAACGCAGTGGAGTGCGGAGTAGCTACCGAGTTTCTGTTATATCGAATGAGTCTAGAACAAATCCGTTGAAGATTCTACTATTGCACACACTACACATGGGCCTGCCGTTCAGCCTTCGTTTGAAGCAGGAACGCTTAAGAGACAGCCAGTGACATGTGATAGACACCTCAGGCACAGATTCAAACAGACCCTCTTCTGTTCGGTATTCGCCTGGTATCACTGTCGCCAGGATACGTTCTCACTCTCTCAAACGTAATTGAAGGCTTGAGAGAGAACTACGAGCTGCGCTCTGCTACCAAAACCAGCCCGGGTTGCAACCATCTTTCCTCTTGCTCCCCCTTCCGTACCCACACCTCGAAGCCTCCCTCTCAGAACCCCTCTGCAAATCCCCTCACAACTCCCATCCCCTCTCAGCCGACCATACTCCTCTTCCTCCCCCTCCCTCTCACCTCCTCGAGCCTCCTCAGCACGACATCCGCCCCCTTGTAGCTCGTCCCGTAAACCCTCAACACCTCTCGGAACAACGGCTCGGCCGCCGGATGCGTGCTACCGAATGCGCGCTCCAGGACGTAGAGATCCACGGCACGGTCCTCGTCCTGGATCGTCTGGGTCGCGAGGCCGAAGTCGATGAGGACTATGTCGCCGGCGAGGGATGTGAGGGGTTCTTGGGGTGGGGGTTGTGTGGGTGGTGGTGGTGGTGATGGGGCAGCTTCTGCGGAGGTTGTAGAGACGGTGGTAGGCGGGACAGGCGTGCTGGATGTCGCGTCTTCTGTTGTCCCGGTGGCTGCTGCTGCTGCTGCTGCTGCCGCCTCGCTGCTCTCTGACTCCTGCCCCGGCTCTGGATTTGGCGCCCTCTCCGCTTTCCTCCGCGCAGGCCTCAGCATCAGGTTGCTCGTCGTCAGATCCCCATGCACGACCCCAATCTCGTGCAGCCGCCCCACCGCCCTGCCAACCCTCCGCATCAAATCCCACAGCTCGCTCGTTTGCTCTGCCTCGGCGCCATCCGCCTCAAGCCCACCACCCTCGTGACCGCCATCGCTCCCGCCATCCCCGCACCCTGCCCTCTCCCTTCTTTCCCTCTTCAGCGTATGCACCCACGCATCCAAACACCTCCTAACCGTAACCCCCTCGACCCACTCCACCACCAAAACCCCGGCCTCCCAATCCACCGCCAGAACGCCGGGACACCTGACCCCGCCGCGCCTGCACTTGACCAGACAGCGCGCCTCGGCCAGCGTGCGCTGCCGCATCAGCCGCTTGTCGAGCGTCGGGTGCCTGTACGGCTTCGGAGGGCGGAATTTCAGCGCCGCCGGGATGCTGGGGGTGAGGAAGGAGGTCTGGAAGATGAGGGCCTCGGCGCCCTGCGCGATGGTGTGGAGCGGCGTGGTGCTGGCGCTGAAGGGGAGGGGGAAGGCGTGGGTG